AATAAAAAGCCCCAATTGGCCCCAATTCAATTTGAGCAATATTCTTAAGTCATAGTCGGAAGCCTTCAGGTATTTTCCAAAAATTCCGTGATCAAGGCGTGCACAAACCTTTTGAACGCCCATATCATCCCCGTGCAGTTCCTCAGGGAACGCCTTAGGAATCCTTCATTCCTATAAACCGCCACACAACTCTGACAACACAAGTATAAGCTCCCTTGAGACTTGAACCCTCCACAGAGGCATAGGCTTAGGCTTTGAGGAGGCTTAGGGTTTCGGGTTTTCGACTCTTCTCCACTTTTGCTACATACCCTGCAACTCAAAACTTTGCAGCAGCAACAGCGGTGGGAAGATTTCCATGGGCGGTAAAAAAAGTCGAGTTGCGCCCTTCGAGATACAGATATGCAAAAGCGGGGCCTTAGTAGTAGTGCCACACTTCTTCCACACCTGCACAAGCCATCTCCCAGAACGCATCCGTTAGATACTTGTGCAAGAACCCCTCAACGACCCATTATGAAATGACGCTTTATAGAAATCCTTTTACGAACCTTAGCGATGGCAGCTGTGGGGCCTGGAAGGCAATCTGCTCAGTGAGAACCGGATTATTTGTGGCGAGAACCTGGGTCGTCGTGGAAATCGGGTTGCGAGAGCTTCCAGTCTAACATGGGCCTGACATAGTACTTGTTGGGATAAGGCGTGGGGTTGAATCACAGCATAACTATGTACTACTAAAGTAAAAGCCAGAAAGTTGGAATATGATTATCCTAAACCCTTTATGGTAAATTATAAGGTATCCTACCCTGAAACCATATTCCAACTTTCTGGAGTTCCCTTTAGTACTAAGACTTCAGGTCCTATTTATTCTGAAAGGCTGTAGGTTTCTGCGGCCCACTGGTTTGAGCGAGTAAGAGAGGCTTCAGGTTTCTCTGGCCCAGCTTCAGGCTGACGGGGGGCCCCGAGCCTGGAACCTAGGGTATGTTTTAGAAGGGGCCCCCACCCTGTAATAGTGGTATAATAGGAATATAATAAGTCCCTAATATAATCCTATAGTCACTATTACAGGGTGGTGGCAGCTGCTCAGGGTTTTTTTAACGTGCAGTGATGTGTCTTTCGCTTGCCTCACACGAGGATAGCACTACAAAGCACCCCCGGCAAAAACGCTCCGTTCTACGAAACAGTAGGGTTTAGGGCTTAGGGTTTGTATCAGAAAAACGCTCCGACAGAATCGTTCTAGATGCTACTATAGGGGCCTATAAGGGATCTATAGTATAAGGGATCGAAAGTAGGGTTCTATGGTAGCTGAATAATTGAATAGGGTTTTGGGGCCTATACTAAGCCACACTATAAAGGAGCCCCAAAATGTAGGAACTATAGCTAATTATTGAGGCCCCTGACCCCCGCAGAACCAACCCGGCAGACACCGACCACAGAAATGACAAATAAACTACTACTGGTCTCTTGCAGAATACCATGCACACACAGACCCACAAAAACACATATGCGCAATCCTCCCTCTGACAACTCCTAATCGCCGCATAGACAGCATCCCTCTTGCCAAACTGGCATTTATGTTACTGCATGAAGCCTCACAATCAGCGAACAGCAGACACTTTTCTGCATTAGATGTTGGAGACGTTTAGAGTGTAGTAGCCATGCACAGCGATGAGAGCACAAAGTGTCACAAACAAGGCAGGTACACATCAGGATTCCTGGCTCCTGATGTACTGTTGATGGACAAAATCCTGCATGACCCTCAGGACTCTAAACTATGGGAACTATGGTATATTCCTTATAATGGGTAAGGCAGGATTTTGTCCATCAGCAGTATCACCAGAGAATTTGGGTGTCTTCGTTGGCAGTGATGCCAGAAACTCGGTCACCGCCCTGGCTGACCAAGGTGTCGGGTGGTTTTCTTACCTTTGGTTAGTAGGGAATGGAGGAATGGTAGTAATAGTAGTTTTAAGTTTTAATTGTACCCCATTCCTCCATTCCCTACTAACCAAAGGTTAGCTTTGAGAAGACCTTCGTAAAACCACCACTGCTTTCTGCACACAGCCAACGACAACCTTGGACAAAACCCGGAAACCAACGATGGTGACGAACTGTCAAACTAAACTACGCTAACCTCTGCAAACAGCTGTATTGCCCTCTAAACCGGTCCCATGCGAAGGAACGAAAATGGTTCAGAACGTGGAAATGTGCGGAGGAAAACCAGCAACTACTCCTGCAGCGGCGAAATCATCAGGTGCTTTGCAAAACCGCAGGCGATGCTGACAACCACGACGAAGAACAACAGGGAACGAGATAATCAGCACAGCTGCATATACGTTTCTCAGTGCCACCGCCGCAAAACTTTGCTACCACAAAAACCAGCACACCCGTTCGACGGTGAAACGGCTGACGGAGACCAGAACCAGAATGAGCTCTGGGCACCGTGCTACCTGAGGGTTTCGCAGCAAGCGCTGGAATAGCTCCCAGAACCTCAGAAGCTATGAAAATTGTGGGAGTTGGACATTCGGGATGCACATCCACAGCAGCAATGTACAACATGCATCTGGACGGTTTTGGCTTGGCTCTGCCGTGCCGGAAGAAGGAAGTGTAACATTGGTACCTCAGGATTCTGCACTGCGTTGCAGCGTCCAAAGTTTGAGGCATGATATACAGACTACTGAAGCCGATTTGTTACTCTCGCGCGTCGCACCACCATGCAGTACATTACAACCTGCCTCCAACCCCGAAACCCTAAACAGTAAATCCACTCCATGGCACCACCTGCACGGCAACTGTAAATCAGAATCATGCGACGGCCGGAGGGGCTCTTTTGCATAAGGGCTGAAGGATTTAGGGTTCAGGGTTTACACCATATAGTTTGGGTTGCAAGCCTTAGAGCTTTAGGGGTTGTAGGGCTTTGGTCTTGGAGTTTCTTAGACTCTGTTCCTTCAGAAGAGCTTTTAGGCCAAGCAACACCCACGCACCAAACCGCGAACCCAAAACTCTAAATCTGACACATGAGCCCACAACCCCGAGCCCTCACTAAAGGGCGACACCCATGGTTGGAAACCCTTGCAGAACCACACCTATATGTAATACGTAAGCCTTGCAGAACCTTTGAAGAAAACATGAAGCCCCCGTAACTTGTGAACCCTAAACTGCCCTAAACCCCTGAACCCCCAAACCCCTAAACCATTAGAACCCCTAAACACCTAAACCCCTAAACCCCTAAACCCCTAAACCCTAAAACAGTAGAACCCCGAACCCTAAACCCTTAGAACCCCCAAACCCCTAAACCCCTAAACCGTTAGAAAGTTAGAACCCCAAACCCTAAGCCCTCGTAGAACCCTTACAGATCCGCTTAAAGGAACCCTTATAGATCCCTTATAGGATCCCTTATAGATCCCTTATAGTATTCCCTAGAGATCCCTGTAAAGGAACCCCTATAGATCCCTTTGAAGGAACCCTTCTAGATCCCTTTAGAGGAACTAAACCCTAAACCCTAAACCCTAAACCCCGAGCCAAGGGGCTCCGCACGGGCCGTGGCATCGTCGAAGTGGTCCGTGGGCCGCTTCCAGAGCAGCGGCAATCCTTAAGGCTCCGCTTTAAAGGGATCTCTAGGGTTCCTTTACAAGAATCTCTAGGGTTCCTTTAAAGGGATCTACGGGTTTAGGGTTTAGGGGTTTAGGGTTTAGTGGTTTAGGGGTTTAGGGGTTTATACTACTAAGGGTACTTTACAGGAATCCTCCATTAAGGGATCTACTTTTTGGATCCTCCCGGGGGTCTGGATATAGGAATCTATAGGGTTCCTTTGAAGGGATCTCTAGGGTTCCTTTAAGGGGGTCCCTAGGGTTCCTATAAAGGGATCTATGCGGTTCCTTGAAATGGATCTAGAGGGGGGATCTATAAAGGGACCTATAGGGTTTCCTAAAGGGATCTATAGGGTTCGTGTAAAGTCATCTATAGGGTTTCTTAGAGGGATCTAGGGTTGATTTCAAGGGATCTAGAGGGGGGATGTATAAAGGGATCTACAGAGGGGGATCGATAAAGGGATCTATAAGGGTTCTCAGGGGCCTCAATGAGGGTTTAAGGCTTGAGGGTATCAGGGCTAGGGGTTTGTAGCTTGCTAGAGTACCCTGATGCAGGGACACTTGCAATTTATTTCCTTATGTGGCAGATCCTAGCCCAAAAAGCAACCTATCTTTTGGCGATTACATATGTACCAAACCGAACGACCCAATAAAGGCGTTTGAAAACACGAAACTGTGTGTAAAGTTGTTTATTGGTACCTATGTTTGCACTCTGAAGATTAGCTTTTCACTGCCGGTTTAACACATCAGCACTGCTGATAGTGTTTTACATAGAGCATGGCTGCTAGTACCGTTATACATACACAGAAAATACATGACGCATCCTGAGATGCACTCTGAACCCAACACCGTGGCAAGCTTTCTCTCCAAGGGTACAAGGAGGGACCCTTAAGAAGGACCCCTAGGTATATACCCTTAACATAGCCATTATATACCTATTCTATAGCCCATTATAGGGTAGGGGTCCTTATTAAGGGTCCCTCCTTTTACCCTTTGATTCTCGAGAGGCCAAGCACCCTGAATCCCAAACCTCGCCTTCCTTTCTTCGAGATTTCGGCGGCCACCGGAGAGTCGCATGTCTTCTGCCAGGTGTATGAGAAAGCTGATGGCAACTTGGGCCTGGATTTTGCGTTCTAGAATAAGGTTTTGGGGTATATCATAGTCTAGGATACCCAGTAACCTAAGAATAAAAAGGCCTCTCTTTTTGGTATTGGGTAACTTTATAAGGAACCTAGGACTACAAAAAGGGAATAAGGGTACTACTGGGCATCCTAGTAGTATAAGTATATGGGGGCGAAAAAGGCGTAGTACGACTAGTGCTTCCAACCCCGATATTATCTGTTTCGGTGGCTAAACCCTAAACCCTAAACCCTAAACCCTAAACCCTAAACAGGCCCAAGTCGTGAACAGCATGGGCCAAGCTCACTCGAACAGCCCCTCAAAGCAACGGCGACTTCGGAGTAACAGGTGCAGACTCGCCGAGGAGCGCTCCTGGGAGGTTTGCTTTAAGATCTAATTAAGGAATATTCCTTAAATCATAGTAGGATCCCAAATATGATTTAAGGAATATTCCTTAGATTAGGGTTTGGAGTTAATGTTTGGGTGTTCAGGATCGAGTTTAGGGAGTTGGGTTTAGGGTCGTTTTGAAGCGCCTCTTGTCCAGGGTTTAGGGCCCAGGCTTGAGGATTTCAGAAAAGTATATTGTCTCTGAGGATTTATGGATTCAGATCTCTAGAAGACGCTTTCAATCATCCGGACCCTCAATCTTCGAAAACTCTATGCCCAAGGCCCGACTATCACAAACTTGAGAGCTTTTGAGGCCAGAGCCATGGAGACCCCGAAGCTCTCAAACCCTACAAACCCAGACCCCTCGCGAGGATCTGAAAAGTAGATCCCCCAATTTGGGGCCCTATACAACTAAGAGGAATCCCCAACGTTTTTGGATCTACTTTTTGGATCCTTCCCGGGGTCTGGGAACGTAAAGCCACTCTCTCCTGACCTTAAGAAACTCCTTCATTAGCAGAGATTCTTGGGCCCCGGTGTAGACCCCAAACAGTCGGACCCTCATTAATTCTCAGGACCCCAAATCCTCAAACCCTAAACCTTAAACCCTGGACTCTAAACCCTAAACCCTGTCAAGCCTACATTCTACAGCAACCCTAAGCCCTAAACCCTAAGCCATCAAGCCCACCTCGCCGGCCCGCGCGAAGCAGAGGTCTGGAGGGCGCCATCGCCTCTGCCCGGGTGTTGGTAAGAAGTTTTCGGCCCAGAAACTCCAATATCCCTTCAAGTAAGGAATACCTAGGACCTAGGGTTCCTTTAAGGGATCTATAGGGTTTAGGGTTTAAGGGGCTCCAACTTCCATTTATTGAGGAATATTCCTTAAATCATAGTGAGAGCCCTAATATGATTTAAGGAATATTCCTCAAATTAAAAGATGTTGGAGTCTCTGGGGGGTCTGAGAAGTCTGGGGTATTTCGTTCGGGGTCTGGGTTTTGGCTTACAGGGTTTGGATTGTAGGGTTTAGGGTGTGGGGTTGTGGGTTTGGGTTTTGAGCTTAGATAAACCATGAGCCTTGATTGGTGGATGGCTTGGGACTCAACTTAGAGGATTATGGGACTTAGTATGTAGGTTGTGATTGGGGCTACACGTCCTCTAAGTGGGGTTAGCCGAATTTTAACCTGCATATAACCTTCCCTGCTAAGCCCCATGAGCCTTCAAGAAGAGCTTCAAGCCAATGGGCTTCCACCTCTCGAGCTCCTGATTGATAATCATGATACGGGCTGTCCCAAAACCCTACCAACCCTAACATAGGGGTCGGAACAATTTGCAAAAGTATCCCCCCTATAGTCCCTGCCATGGCACCCCTTCCCAAGGAAGGCCCAACCCTATATCCCCAACCTGTAACCTCAGGCCCTAAACCCTAAACCCCCTAAACCCAAACCCTAAACCCCCTAAACTCAATCCCTAAACCCCCTGAATCCCAAACCCTAAACCCTAAACCGCCTGAACCCGAAACCCTAAACCGCCTGAACCCTAAACCCCCAACCGTGTAGATCTCTTGAAGGAACGCTTAAAGGAACCCTGAAACGAACCCTAAACCCTGAAACCCAAAACTGGCAGTTAGCATCACACAGGGCTCCGGGCTTCTTCGCACGAGTTGCGGTCTCGTACCTCTCGAGGCCGGGCAGAAGACTAATCGGTTCAGGGTTTAGGGTTTACCTGTAGCCGAAATGACCTACCTTTTTAGGGCTCCTCATTATGGTTTCTGTATAAAGTTCCTTAAAACGGTAGGTCTTTTCGGCTACAGGTAGGGTTTAGGATTTGGGGTGTGTGGGGTTCTGGGTTTGGGGGTTTTGCAGTTTAGGGGTTTAGCGGTTCAGGGGTATACAGCTTCTGTGCTCTTCAAAACTTCAAGAAGGGCTAGCACCGGTGTTTGCACACATGCTAGCTGCAAGCACGTCCGAACCAATCGTTCTAAGACGACCAGTTGCTTACAGGGTGGTCGCACTTGCGACGCATGATCGACTCTCAAAAGGCAATTGACGTGAAAACGCCGGAATATAGTGCAAGGAAACCTGCGCAACATCTCAACAACTTGCTGTACACCTGCGGCCTTCTTGTTGCTCTAATTGCTATGATGTTTCCTACCACCTGAGCCACAAGCGCTGTCATTGAAAACCCTAAACCCTAAACCCTGCAGGGCACCTGTACCCATCCAGGGCTCCATAGCCAGAGTGGTGGTAGCCTGCCTGCCGCTGATCGACAGTTGCTGAGTTCATAAGCCCAAAAGAGTGTACACTTTTAGATTTATTGGGGTAATATGACCCCAAAAAGTGTACACTTTCAGATTTATTGAGGTAATATGATCCCAAAAAGTGTAAAGAGTATCCACTCAGCTACTAAGTGATCGACATTCCCATAGGCTTCAGGCATTTTGGACCTAAGGCTCAGAGTCTGTGTAGGGCTTTATCTTTCAGGGTTTGGGATTTTGCCTTTAGGCCTTGGGTTAGTCTTACGATCAAGATGCTGAATTGCCTGGTTTCCGGACTAAACGGGTTTGAGGTGGGCTGCGGGCTGCGAGCAAGTCAGGTTGAGTCAACTCCACAATATCGTGATCATTTTCGTTATCATAAGTCTTCCCCTCCTTCACCACCACCCCACCACCGCCGACGACGACGACTGCTATACCAATCCCGACAACCTGCCTGCCTAGCACCTGCTGTTGCGAGTTCTGCAAGGAGCCGGAAGAAATCAACGTGCCGCTGCTGCATGTGTGCGAGTGAAATGCCCTCCACTACTGCTGCAAGAAGCATGCGTTTAATCGCGACTGTCGATTCTGCATACGAAAACCTGAAGTGAGAAGACTGCACGACACGAGAACTGCATTTTAACGAGACAATGTGGAAAATCGTGCAATTACACAACACGAACTTCGCTTGGTCTCCACCACTCCGGCAGACATGGTCGTCCAGCACCCAAGCCGTGGGTTCATGGCTCGAGGTGTCTAGGGCTTGGGGTTTAAGGTTTGAGGTAGCCCAGAAACTTCCCCTGTGCAGTCCTGGCCGAAGCAGAACGCTTGGCAGTTCCACTCCTGCAGGCAAGCTAGCAGCTAGCAGCTAATTATCAAGGGCTCCCTAATATAGAACTCTATTATAGTATCCCTTCTAGGAGCCACCCTGTCCTAATTAATTAAAGCCCGACCCGAAACAGTCTGTACACGTAAGAGGATTGCGTCGGCGTGTGTGGCGGACGACAACGTCGGCTCGTACGGCGGACTCATAATGACGAGCTGGGGTCAAGGGCAACGTCACAAAACAAACCGAGCGGACAGCTAAGGCAGTACCAGCACGTATGGCGGATACTTGGCTCGGGAGCTACAACCAGGCACTTAAAAGGAGCTACAACCGAGCACCTAAACCAGTGCGGCGGGTGATGAAGGCAGGACTGGACAGGGCAGACCAGGCAGGTCGAGCAGCACAGGGCAAGCTGTTGGTTGGCAGGGAGGAAAAGGGCGCGCAGCGTTTCAGGGTGCGGCAAAGGGGAAGGCCTCCTCCGCGCCGTGGCAGGCGCCGGAGAACCGCACGTGCATTTTCCCTTTGAAGAGTGATGGCGAGGCTCTGCAGGAGGCGATCCACGTGGAGACGGCAGTCGGCCCCACCCACGGCAGGCCTCAGCGACGAGAGGCAGGATCGGAAGACGCTCGAAGCGACAGTGGTGTTCCGTGTGTGGGTGGTTCCGCTTCCGGGCTTGGCAGACTCAGCTAGCATCGTGCCGGCCCTGACGCCTGACGTGACGGCAAGGGCAAATGCAGCAGGCCCCTGCAGGCCCCACTGCGCCACCCAGACGTCTGCAGGTCTGCGGAGACCAGAGCCGCGGCCTCCGTCGGCCCCGTCGTCGTCAGGGCGTAAGGGGAGGAGGTCCGCTTTTTCAACTTCGAATTAAATCCCCGCGAGGGGTCGGAGATGCCTCTTCAGGCTAAAGGCTTTAAGGGTTGCCACGTCAGGATCTCGGGCTTCAGTCTTGGATTTCGGGTTTAGGGTTTAGGGTTTAGGGGTTTAGGGGTTTAGGGTTTAGGGTTTAGGGGTTTAGGGTTTAGGGTTTAGGGGTTTAGGGTTTAGGGGTTTAGGGGTTTAGGGCTTAAGGGTTTAGGGGTTTACGGGTTTAGGGTTTAGGGGTTTAGGGGTTTAGGGCTTACGGGGTTTAGGGCTTTAGGGGTTTAGGGGTTTAGGGGTTTAGGGAAGGCATTGTCGACACTGGTGGAAAGCAAGCTCTGCTAGCAGCACTTGGGGTTAGGCGAGAGACCCTGAACCCTGAACACACATGCTGGAGCCCTGTGCCGAAGCAACTTGACGGAAAGGAAAACGAACGTCCGAAACCCAAAAGCATTCCGCACGATTCTGACTGGAACGATATCGGAAGCAGAGGCGCCTAAACATAGATCCTAAATCCCTGCTTCGACCCTGCCGAACCTACTTTTTTTCCCAACCCACTGCCCTCCTCCAGCGTGGCCTCGCGACCCAGGCTCGGAAGCCTACCGTGAACCCTTTTGGGGCTTAGGATTTCAGTGGCTAGGGGTTTGGATATGTTCTGCGTTTCGGGGTTTCGGGTTCAGGAACTTCTGGGCTAAGGGCTAGGATATGGGCACGTACGGCCCTGGATGATATGACTTTGTGGTACATTGTACATTCATTACATCCAGGAAACACAAGGAATAGTAGAAGTCATGATGTAGAAAACCCTGAAATTCAGGGCATCTTCCGCAATTGAGATTGGTAGGCCAAACAGGCTAGCCTGATGTAATTAGGGTATTGGGCATCGGGTTCAAGCCGAAGTCAACGTTGGATCCGAAGTTGGGCGAGGATAGCATGCCTTAGTCATCAGACTAGGATTCCCGGAGATCCCAGTACCCCTTTCTTGAGGAATATGAATCATCAGAGGCCTCATATTATGATCTAAGACATATTCCCTAATCAGGGTATTGGGCTCTCGGGGTTCCTGGTTTGATACAGCGGTTTAAGGCTCGGACACTTAACCTTACACGTTGCATCAAGAACGAGGTTCACAAGAACCTCGTAGACTCTTGCCTCAAAAGCACGGCATCGCATTTCGCTGATATGCATGGAGGCTGCTGCGGGTGACCTTGACGAGTTCGGAGTTGGTGCAATCTTAGCTAATCTTAGGCCTTAGGATATCCGCTTCAGTAAGTTGGGCATACCCGTTCTTTCTACCAGCCCACGTGCTCACTTGATGAAGGGCCTTCCGTGTACTCGCTTTTCTTTGGGCCCTGACTTCTGGTAAATTCCTGTCGGTATCCATGCTGCTGAACTTGAACCGAACCTGGTGGCCTCAAGCATTCGCAATACCCTCCACTTCGCAGAGACTCCAGTATCCCTTATGCAAGGGCACCTTATGGAGGATGTTGCAGTTTGACGAATCTGCGCCGGGCGGGCACTGTCATTCCTTGGGCCTTTGGGGCGTTACAAACCATAGGATTATCGGTTCAAGTCTTTAAGGCTCAAGGTCCTATTTAAGGGTTGAGGGCATTAGGGTTAAGCGCCTGTAGGGTCTAGCGTTTGGATGCTGAAGGACAATCTTCTCCCCTGACAATACCCTTATCAACCCTTTTCATACCCCTGCGCTACCTGATAGCACCCGTATTCTACCGTCATATACTACCCTAACGCCAAACCCTAAACCAATTACAGTATGTACTCTGAGGGTACCCCAGAAACCCTCTGTCCCAAACCGCGCAGCGCTCGGCCAGGGCTTCGAAGTGCTGGGGTTCTGCCAGTGCCATCCTCCTTGGGTAGCATTAGTGGTAGTAGTACTAGTAGTAGAAGTAGTGGGAGTAGTGGTAGTAGTGGTGGTAGTAAGGCTAAACTGGTTCCTTGATGTTCCGTGAAGGGCTTAAGATATGGAACTCAGAGTTCAGGGTTAGGGGTTTAGCGGTTTCAAGCTTCAGGGTTCCTTTCAGGGTTCCTCTAAGGGTTCTTTTCAAGGCTCTTTTAAAGGTTTTTACGGGGGTTCCTCGCAGAGTCCGTTACAGGCTCCTTTAAATTTTAGTAACCCCTCTCAGCACCAGCTACCGCTGTGCTTGGGGATTTAAGGTTACGTGTTGGGTAAGTTCCCCTCACAATATCCTACAGGCTTTGGGGTATCTGTGGGGGTTCTTTCAAGATTCTGTGAGGGTTGAGGGATTAGGGTTTCAGGTTGTGGGGCTTATAGGGTTTAGGGTTTTTAAGGAACAATGATTTAAAGCTTCGTGTTTCGGAATCGAAGCGTAGGGTACGGGATGATCAGATGTGTAGTATACACTGTCAATTCCTGTAAAGGATTGACCAAGTCATTTCTTCACATGCAGTTGAAGTTCTGGTTTTCGAATTAGGCTTAAGAAGATCTGTGCAATAGCCGCAAGAGCCCATGGAGAGTTTTTGCAAGGTTTCTGCGGCGTTTGAATGATGTGCGTTTATGGAGCTGCATAGCCCTAAACCCCACACCCTTGATGTAAGAAGAATTTCAGGGTTCGGATTTGATTGGGGTCCAGGACTTGAGGTTGAGGGCTGAAAAAGTCAGGGTTTCGACTTTGGAGTTCAGGGTTTAGGGTTTATCACAATGCCACGGCGCGGACGCCGTCTTCGCACCGTGGAACCCACCCACAACCACCCAGAGCTAGAACGGGTTTTGTGTTGTTCTGCACCTGGCAAACAAACTTTGCAATGTTGGGGGAGGCCAACAGCATATCAGTGATATCAGAGATATCAGAGTCACGCATCATGATAGTAGCGACGTCCTCGCCGGAGTCGTCCGCCATCCCACGTAGACGCGATCAAGTTTGGCGGACAGCAGACAGCAGACCATTCTGGTGGGGAAAAACGACCCTGCACATCGCACAACTGCGGCAGGGACGGCGGGACAACTGCGGACCTGTGGCGGGGACAGCGGGGCGACTGTGACGGGGATGCCGAAAGACTCTGTTGTGGCGACGAATCTGGCAGGGTCACAAAGACAGCTTGGCACGGGAGCTTTGAAAACGGCGGACGACTTTGGCGGGAACGGCCTGTGGCAAAGCATTTTACTGTTGTGCCCCATGGCTGGCCAGCACTGCCAAAAATCAGGTCTGGCAGACTCGATCTGCTTGGCATCGCAAGCAGATCTGGAAGCGGTAGCTGGCATGGCTAAGGGTTTAGGGTTTCGATTCTGGGGCTTGGTTAGCAGACGTCACCCCTTGGGGGTACCTTTTTGCGTTTGAGGCTTAGGGGGTCAGGGCTTTAGGGTTCAAGGGTTCAACTGTTCAGGGTTAAGCGCTGCGGCTTTCGGGTGTGAGGCTTGGGGGTCTTGGCGGGACATTTGGTTCAGCCTCAGGCTCCAATGCGGACGATATGTCGTTGTGTTGTCCGTTTCCCTCCTTCCTTTGCTGAACTGTCAAACATAAAGTCTGGAGCTACCAAATCAATCTCTTTAGCTCCAAAAGACGAAATTATGCCTGACTGAACGCTTAACATGTCCAAGCCAAGACCCAAATCCTAAATGGGAGCTTCAGAAACACGGGGCTCGCAAAAAAAAAAAAACATAACAGTACGTTTCTTATTCTAAAGATCCCTGTAAAGGCGTCTAATTGAAGAAACTCCCGGATCCGAAGTTCGAAACTCAAATCACGAGAAGCGAGTGCCAAACCTCGAAACTCACAGCGCTACACCCAACCTTCGACAATGAACACCGTCACCTCAACACATGGGAGTTTCCGAAAATGGGGAACCCTAAGATACTACCCTAAATAGTAGCCCTAGTTTGCGGAAACTCCCACATGAAAGTGCCACTTCCAGAGAATCCAAGGCTCAGTTTAAGCATAGGAAAAGAGTCCCTTGGATCGCCGACCTGCATCTGAACTCCCAGAGCCAAACCCTGGGAGGATCTAGAAACAGATCCCTTAGAGGGTAGTAGTAGTAGTAGTAGTAGTAGTAGTAGTAGTAGTAGTAGTAGTAGCAGTAGTAGCAGTAGTAGCAGTAGTAGCAGTAGTAGCAGTAGTAGCAGTAGTAGCAGTAGTAGTAGTAGCAGTAGTAGTAATAGTAGTCGTAGTAGTAGTAGTAGTAGTAGTAGTAGTAGTAGTAGTAATAGTACTAGTGGTAGTGGTAGTGGTAGTGGTAGTGGTAGTGGTAGTGGTAGTGGTAGTGGTAGTGGTAGTGGTAGTGGTAGTGGTAGTGGTATTATAACAAGGCCCCAGACTAGGGAACCTACTTTTATGGGGTTGAACTTTTATCGGGTTGAGCTGCCTGGCAGAGGTCAGGCCTGTAAGACTTGCAGCTCCCGCCCTAAGGCCGAAACCCTGGCTCACAATCTGATGTAGGGCTCAGAGTTCAGGGTTTAGAGTCTTGGTGTGTAACAGTATGCGCGCGGTGGGTGCGCCTTTTACTTTTGGAATTTGGGGCGCGCCCACTAATCGCGCGCTTGCGTCAGCATGTCGTCCCGCCCCAACCACCCCTTCGGGTTTAGGGTTCACCCCCCAAAAGGGGGGGGGTTCTTGCTCTCGAAATGGATTGATGTCGGGTTGTGGGTCCTCGCACAACTCGGTTCTCGCTCCGTGTAAGGGGTGCTCGAAGTGTGAACAAGCAGGGCAGGGCAACGAATAGGTCAGGCACCGGCACCAGAAGCGAGGGCAGGGCAGGGCAGGAGGGCGGGCAGGGCAGAGAACGGGCAGGGCAGGGGGGGAGGGCAGGGCAGGGCAGGGCAGCGCATAGCAGGGTAGGGCAGGGGTTGAGGTTTTTGGGTTCAGGGTTCTAGGTACTTGAAGGCTCATGGGACTTAGCAAGTAAGGTTATATATTCGGATAACCCCACTTAGGGACGTATAACCCCAGTTATAACCTACATACTAAGTCCCATGATCCTCTAAGTCAGCTCCAGGGTCCCGAGTAGCAGGCTGATAATACCTTCGATGAGCCGAGCTTATGCTCCTAGGCCCTGCCTCCTCAACTCAAGCCGAGTCTCCTGTTTCTTGAACTGCGTAAACGTTAGGGTTTACCTGTAGCCGAAAAAACCTACCTTTTTAGGGTTCCTTATTAGGGTTTCTATATATAGCTCCTTTAAAAAGTAGGTTTTTTCGGCTACAGGTAGGGTTTGGGGTTTAGGGTTTAGGGCACCAGACTTGCAAACACCAGACTTCAATTTTGACTTCGGTTCCCACCTCTTCTGGCGGCAGCCACAGGCTCACACCAAGGTGCATCTGAACCTGCCGCTTCTGGGTACTTAGAGGATCATGGGACCTAGAAAGTAGGTTATAACTGGGGCTATAAGTCCCCTAGGTGGGGTTATCCTAATTGTAACCTACTTATAACCTTACTTACTCAGTCCCACGAGCCTCCAAGTAGGGTTTACGGACAGCGCCCCTGTATAGGCACCTCATCCCCAAACCTCTAACCCTAAACCCTAAACCCCAAGACTACTGTAATCCCTAAAACCCTAAACCCCAAAACTACTATAATCCCTAGACCCTAAACCCCAAGACTACTGCATTCCCTAGACCCCCAACCCCAAGACGACTGTATTCCCTAAAGCCTAAAACCCCAAACCGGCTTCGGGTTCAGGTTACCTCGTCGGGGCATTTCTGTCGGGTGGTCAGGCGTTCCCAAAAGCCGAGGTTATGATATTTTTGGGATTCGATGGGGTTAGGGTACCCTTGGGATTAGATAGGCTTATGGTACCCGCGGGAATTCATAGGGCTATGATACCTACTTTAAGTTGCCATAGTGAGGCATTCCCCTCGCAATGTAACCAAAAACATTTCTTTCTGTAGGAGTCTAGTACAGGAGTGCCTGAGGCCCTCCTTAGCCTGCTCCCAATCTGGCAGGGATGGAATTTACAGCCACTTCGTAGTCTGTGGATTCAGGCATTTTGTATAAAGTATAAATGGCAAAGGCTCTGAATGACGAGAAAAGGCTTTGGGGCGGCAGGGACCCCTAAGGGATTATGTTACGAACTACTAAAGCCCATGCATTACCGGCTGAAGTGTACTTCACATCCGCAGCTTGCCAAAACCGAAAACTCAAGAAAGCCCCGCAGGAGACTGAAAAAACTGTTATAAGCCCTCTCAAGGCACGAGTTAAAGGGTTCCTCCATGCCTAAACATCTAGAGTGCACAAGAAGCAAAAACAAGAACAGCTCGGCATAAGATGCGAATATAAGAATGCTAATATAAGAGAAGGAAGCACTAGAAGCCAAGACGGAAAAGCGTGCCTTTCGTGGGAGAAAGCTCCGTCTTGGAGCTCCTCAGTAGGGGTCCAAGGGTTTGGGATTTCAAGAGTTCCGGGTTTAGGATATTATAGGGTTTAGGGTTTAGGATATTACAGGGCAGGGTTTCGGGCCAGGGCTTGAAAGCAAGCTTTAAGCAGAAGCAGAAATTTTCCCAGCATCTGAACCATTCTCCCTCATAATACCTCGTGTAAACAAACTGTTACTTGTCCCTTTTCTGTTGGAAGCAGAAAGGCTGAAGTTCTCGGCATCTGAACCATTCAATCTCACAATACTGTTGATGGGCAAAATCCTGCATGACCCTAAGGACTCTAAACTATGGGAACTATGGTATATTCCTTATAATGAGTAATGCAGGATTTTGTCCATCAACAGTACCTCGTGTTTATTGCTCTCTTTTCGTTATAAAGTCCATGTTCAATAGCTTCAAGAGATCGAGGCCCCGGCATGGAGCCCCTTTGCCCCTCCCAACATTGGTAGTCAGGACCACGGGAGGATGTAGGATGAGGGTATCGCCCAGCAAGGTTCCGGGTTTCGGCTTTCGACAGTGGTGCCATGAAGGGGTCCTGGAGTACGAGGACGGTCTAAGAGCCACATACGCATCAAAACCGTCATGTCACGAGCTGTCCAGAGTCCTTTACGGACAGCTGCATCCTGAAGATACTGGTACAAGTTACCAGGTTCAAAGGGGTCTATAGGGCTTAGGGCTCCTTTAAGGGTTCCGTTAAGGGGCTCTATAAGGGCTTAGGGTTATCTATCGTTCCAGAAGAGTTCCGAAGCACTTCCTTTTGCAAGTCCTGCTACTGGTGGTGGCGGGCAAGAGCCTCCAAGTAGGACCTAGCTGCATAGGGTCCAAGCCAATACTTAATGGCTCATGGGATTTAGTAAGTAAGGTTATAAGTAGATTATACTTCGGAGAACGCCACTTAGGGGACTTATAACCCCAATTGTAACCTACTTACTAAGTTCCATGATCCTCCAAGTACGGACACCAAAACCCTGGGTTTAGGGTCAGGGTGGATATCAGGTTGCAACTACTTAGGGGATCATGGTACTTAGTAAGTAGGTTATAATTGGGGATCATCAGTCCCACAAGTGAAGTTATCCTACTTATAACCTAGTTACAACCTTACTTACTAGGTCTCATGATCCTTTAAGTAGGAGAATGATATCCCGACTTAAGGGGCGTGCGAGCTGCTTGACTTAGGGGGCCTGAAATAGGCTCGGGGCCCTGTGCACCTTAGGCCCTTCGCCGAGAGGCGATCCCATGGAGGAAGTATTGCCTCGGCTGGAAACCCAGACCCCCGGGAGGATCTAGAAAGTAGATCCCCTAGTTTGGGGCCCTATACTATTAAGACTACTTTATAGGAACCCCCATTAAGGTATCTACTTTTTGGATTTTGCCGGGGGTCTGGGAAGAGAAGGACGCTGTACGAACATGAGTTGAAACAACGGCATTTAGGGTTTAGCGGTTAGGAGGTTAGGGTCTACGGGTTCACTGTTGAGGGTAGGGTCTCTTTACTTTAGGGGTTCAGGGTTTAGGATGACTGGCTACCCCAATGCTGATAGAACTGAGGTTATGCTATTCCTGGCGTGACGACCAGCTCTAGCACGAGCGTGCATGGCATTGACCAGCCTGTTACGTCACGACATTACGGCTGATGATATAAACCCTGCATTACTTTAAGGACCCTAAACCATGTTCCTGATTATGGGTACTGCAGGATTTATGTCATCAACCGTAACATACAACTGCTACTACTGCTGCCCACTGGCTCTGCCACTACTGCAACCCTAGGCTTCTGTGCTTTGTCCCTAAACCCTGGACTAAACTCTAAACCTTAAACCCTAAACCCTAAACCCTAAAACCCTAAACTCTAAACCCTTTTCAAGGCCGCAATGGCAGCCCAATACTGGGACCAATCTTACAATGTTCGAGCTCATGGTTGGGATAATATTAAAATCCAATTCTCGATTGCTTAGCGGGTTTAAGTAGCCATAAACCTGTGACATGTTACCCACCTATGTCAAAGTTGTCACTATCAGGATGACGACAACCATGGTGACGACGATGATGATGATGCTAATTTTATTCAAACCCACAACTGACCAGTGGTTTGGGGGGTTCCCTTGGCTCTTTAGCTCCTTATTTAATAGGGTTTATCATCATCCCTGGCTCCTTAGCTCCCATAATATCAATTGTTAGACAAGCAAGGAGGCAACGACCACTGCATCCGAGGAGCAAACTCTGCATCCACCAGCGAGGAGCAGACCCTGCGAAGAGCTGACGAACGCCATCAATATCTGCTTAGAGGATCATGGGACTTAGTAAGTATGTTATAATTGGGGTTATAAGTCCCCTGAGTGGGGTTATCCTAGTTGAAACCTACTTATTACCTCACTTACTAGGTTCCATGAGCCTTCAAGTGGGGTTGAAGGCACAGCTATGCAGAAAGCCCAACACCCCTTAATTGCTATACCATAAATGATACGAGGCTTCACAATTTGCTAAGCTATTCCTTAATCACGGGGTTTTTGAGCTCTCTGGATAACTCGGGGCATGCTTGCTGGAGCTTCTTCCTTCTCTGCCACCATTGATTTCAGAACTTTTTGGCCCAGGGCCCGGATCGATGCCTTCGACGCGGAGGAGAAGAATGCAACGAATGAACGAAGAATAACACTACTAATAACAATGACACTGACAAGAGCAAGAACAAGAACGACAACAACAACAACAACAACAACAACAACAACAACAACAACAACAACAACAACAACAACAACAACAACAACAACAACAACAATGACAACAAGACAAACAAGAATCCGAAGAAGAAGAAGAAGAAGAAGGAAAATGACAATAACCACACCACCAACACCACCAACACCACCAACACCACCAACACCACCAACACCACCAACACCACCAACACCACCAACACCACCAACACCACCAACACCACCAACACCACCAACACCACCAACACCACCAACACCACCACCAGCACCACCAGCACCACCAGCACCACCAGCACCACCAGCGCCAGCAGAACCACCAGCACCAGCACAACCACCACCAACAACCACCACAACCACAACCACACCAAACACACCACACACCAAACACACCAAACTCTCAACACCACCACCACCGCCGGCAGGACCACCACTACTAGCACCAGCAGCAGCAGCAAAAGCAGCAAAAGCACCAGCAACATCCACATTTACGAATACCACAGCACTTGGATTGGTAAGCATGCTAAAGAGGATAATTAGCCTCAAAAGGTTTCCAAGACAGCAGTGTCCAAATGCTTTCGACATAGGTTACTGTCAGGGCAACACAATGACCAGTATGTTTTGGGGCAGGGCATAGCATCCACAGACAAACAGCAGCTAGCCTTCAGCTTCCCGGTTTCAGGAAGAATTCCAAAATGCAAACTCCGGGGGCAGATTTACTGGCATAATATATTATAAATTATGGTATATTACATTATTTTACACTACATTACATTGTATGATAGCAAAACTTAAATGGTTTAATATGGCACCCAGACATGGGTTTCAAACAACATGACCTAGTCCCATATGTCGAAACCCGCTGCGTCACGTCTGTTGATACCGTCCTGTCGACAACAAAGGAATGCATGAATTTACGGTTGGAGGCCAAAGGACGAGGGACCGCAGAGTATAGAGCCGACGTTCGACTCATGAAGATGGCTGCACAAGTCCCGTGGAAGGCAAAGGCTTTGGGTGCCATGAAGTCAAAGTAGCAGCTGCGGAACCCCAAACCCCCTAGACCGTGGAAGTGCTGGAGGGCTAGAACGGTGGCAACGCAACCTTAACGGTCAAATGCGGATGACTTCAAAACAGCCTTGAGTCTCAGAGGTGGGCAAAGCGAGATGTTCCTTCCGAACGGAGCATCTCTTCCCGACTATGGCATTATGCGGGTGAAAGCGAGGCTCCAACACGGACTTTCCATGAGCAGATGGATGCGCCATGATGCACCTCTGATGCAGACGATCGAGGCTAGTTTCGGGACACAGCGGCTTCTGCTCCAGGAAGCTACGGATAGATTGCGGCATGCAGTTGAGCAGGAATAGGTGGGTAAGAATGTCGGTGAACACCACGTTGGAAACGGCGGATCTGGCGGGACCTCCAACAGCTTTGTGGAGTGCGTCTGCCACTTGGAGCAGCAGGTGGACGCCTGACCGATGCGAGGAGATTTCACAAGCGAACTATGCGATGTGTCCTATGTGGAGGTGGAGGGGAACGGCCTGGTGAGATATGTCGCATGGGGATAAGGTGTGCACACCATCCATCGGCCAAGACAGCCAGCAGCGCAAGCAAAGGCCGGATAAGAACACGAAGTGTGCGTCACACTGCCTGGAAGATCAGTGGCATTTGCTCGCCAAGTATGATTGGTATCCTGACCGAAGCAGGACGCCGTCCGGAACATCTATCAGTATTACGTCTACCTCCTAGAGCAGAGAGTGCTGGTGCAGCTCGCAAAGGAAGGGATGCTACCCTGCATTCAGGGCGGGAGGCCAAAGGCCTCGGGCATGTCAAGATGGCTTTTGTTGAAGTATTGGAAGGCTGAAACGGTGTGCGCCAGGTTCATCTCTATCTCTGTTGTGGGTAATTTCCAATCTTCTCACCAACAACCTGCCAAAGACGACTATAGTATAATGGGCCCCAAAACCCTATTCCAAATATGAAGGCCACTCTACTTTCGATCCCTTATAGACCCCTTTCAGGAACCCTTTAAAGGAACCTCTGTTCTAATTATTAAGGCCCCTATATTAATTACCCTTATTATGACCCTCCATGCGCAGAGAGCCCAATACCTCTTAATTAAGGAATATACCTTAAATTATAGTAGGATCCCTAATATGATTTAAGGTATATTCCTTAATCCGCCGAGGCCACAGGCCCAGGCGTCTTGGGGGTTACCTCAGGTTCCCTCCACCTAATCCTCCTCAGTCCGAAAGTTTGGAGACACCCTGTTTTTGCCACCCCCTATTTTACCTGATTTGGAAGCCTCCCCCCACTCCCCCTCCCTCCTAGCATGGTGTATACAACATCCACTGCCCCCTCGCCCTGCCGCTACAGAGCCGAGGCGGGCGGCGTAGCGTTAAAATTAAGGGGTTTTGGAGTCTCTGGGAAGCGCACCTCCGCCACTGGGAGAGGCCTTCGCTGTGCAGAGACCAAACCACACGTGGCAATGGGAGCTCGCTGTAGCCTGCACTGCTCTTAGGGTTTAGGGTCTAGGGTTTAGGGTTTTTGGGGTCTAGGGTTTAGGATCATGAGAATTAGTAAGTAGGTTATAATTGGGTTATAAGTCCCCTAAGTGGGGTCATCCTAATTATAGCCTACTTATTACGTTACTTTACTAAGTCCCATGAACCGTCACGTAGGGTTTAGGGTCTAGGGTTTAGGTTTCAGGATTTAAGGTAGATCAAGGGTTCGCAGGCTATTCTATTACAATGATTACATATATATATATATATATATATATATATATATATATTGATAAGGAGCCGCAAAATGGTATTGGTACTGTTGATGATATAAATCCTGCATTACCTTAAGGACCCTAAACTACGGGAATAATAGCATGTTCCTTGTTATGGGTAATGCAGGATTTCTACTATCAACCGTAATTGTTTGAGCCCCTCTGTTCTGGTTTAGGGTTGGAACCTACGGGACAGGCAAATCTGATCCAGATCGACTCAGTGATCTTAGACTACTTCACCGGGACTGGGTTGCCAAAACGGCCGCCAAGACCCATAACAGAAGCATATGGGAGTTTCCGAAAACAGCTGGTACCTTATTTTGGGGTCCTGAGAATGAGGATCCTACAATTTAGGGTACGATATATCAGGGTGCCCTATTTTCGGAAACTCCCTAAACCCTAAACCCCTTATAGAACCCTTCTAGATCCCTTATAGATCCCTTAAAGGAACCCTTATGGTACCCTTTAAAGGAACCCTAATGTCTAAGGTTCTGAAGGCCTGAGTTTAGGCCTGACAGAAGCAGTGAAAATCTTAAGAAAGGCAGAAAAATTCAGCAGATGTCTTCCGGCTGGGACCGGGAGATCCACAAGAAAAACTGCCGATGCCTTTGGCATCCCAGCACTGTAAACCTCAACCTGAACCGTTGAACCCTGAACCCTTAGACCTGAGCCCCTATGCTATAGAATCCTGAACGCTTGAACCCTAAAGCCTTAAGCCTAAACCCCTAAACCCCCAAACCGCTAAACCCAAAAAAACCAACCCCGAAGAGAGTTATTGCACAACCTTACAGCACCCTCATACAACCTGCAACACCTAATGGGGACCCCTACCCTATAATGGGCTAAAAAATGGGTATATAATTAGGGGTCCTTATTAGGGGTCCCTCCTTTTACCTCAAAAACATCCTACAAAAGACCTGTTCCCCCCATGCCACCGAGCAGCTGAAGGTGTGGGGATCCGGGGGGATCGTTTGGTTTCCTCCGAGATCTGGGAGTTTCCGAAAAGTAGGGGTACCTTATTTTGGGGTCCTTACAGTAAGGATCCTATTATTTTGGGTACCATATTTTCGTGGGAGTTTGATAGAGCTCCAAAGTTATACCTTAACCCCAAGTAACCCAACCTTTCTAAGGACTTATATAATGAAATCATATTAGGGAACCCTAAGAAGGTAGGTCCCATAGGGTCCAGGTAGGTCTAAGGGGTTCATCGGCTCGGTCAAGGGTACCCTAAACCCTAAACCCCTAAACCCTAAACCCTAAACCCTAAACCGAGTTCTTGAACTGTCGGATATGGGGTTGATGCTGCAGGGTGCACACTGCGGCTTTGGAGTGAGGCCTACCTTGACCCTGAGGAACCTACCTTTTTAGGGTTCCCTAATATGATTTCTTTATATAAGTCCTTAAAAAGGTAGGTTACTTGGGATTAAGGTATGGCTTTAGGCTCTAGAGTCTTCAGAGCTTAAAGCTTGGAGTGGCTTTTGGGACACGGAGTTTCGGCGCTCAAGTCTCGGACCTTTTGGCTTTAGTCGTCCTCTTTGGGGTTTATTCTACAATTACTTGGGGACTATGCGGTCATACCAGCGGTTTAGGGGTTAGGGTTTAGGGTTTAGGGTTCAATTACTTATTATTCCGATCCCTGTATTGAGCCTTGCCGGATCTCCAGATCAACGCTACGATTGCAGTGCCGAAGATCGGTCCCAGAGGCTGTGCCATGTAATCTGTGGGACAGGGGCCTGAGCGGGGTCTAGAAGGGATCCTTACAGGGTTCCTTAATCGGGTCTATAAGGGATCTATAGTAGGGTTCGATAATATAGAGGCCGTACAGTTAGAATAGGGCTTTGGGGCCCATAGTATAATTATAATAGGGAACCCCCAAAATACTGCTGATGGACAAAATCCTGCATGACCCTAAGGACGCTAAACTATGGGAACTATGGCATATTCCTTATAAAGGGTAATGCAGGATTCTGTCCATCAACAGTAGTATAGGTCATTATTCAGGCCCCTGCATTACTTCGGGGGTGAGTTCGCGAGCTGCAGGCTTTTCGGCTTTAGAGGGTTGGGGGCTTTGGGGAGGTTTTGGGTTCGGAGCCTTTGGGTTCAAGGGTTGATGGCACAGGGCCTTGGAGCTGCGATTTTAGGGTTTAGGGCTAAGGACTTAGAAAATTGCCTTAATAATTAGGGTAGGGTTCTGGGGCCCATTATACTATAATTTTAGTATGCAACCTACAAGAAGGAAATTATTTATTAAGGCCCCTTACGGTAGGGTTTGGGGTTTGAGGCCGCCGAAACCCAGAGCGGTCCTTTGAAGCTCTTCGTAGCTCTCTGGAGATCCTGCCCGCAGCTCTCGTAGGCTTTTGGCTTGGGCTTCTTAGTGGTACTCAGATTCAATTTTTAATTTTTGGTTACTATAATCCCTAAGAAACAGCTAAAACTATAATTTTTGTTAGGGTTCTAAGTTCAGTATAGGCTTTTTGGGGTCTGGCATGGGTCCACGACGGCTGCAACCCTCAACCCCTGAAGACCCTGAACACCCCAGAGCTCGGCAGGGCTCTCGTAGCCCCCGTCCACAGGAATTCACTGGTACAGAGGTCGGATTACGTGTCATGTTGTTGCAGCTCTCTGACTTAACTTCCGAACGGGACAGCAGCATAATGCGCCAGGTCAAGACCCCACACCCCACGATCTCCCCAAGGCCCGAAAATCCTGAAACCTCCAAAACAAAAACTGCTAAGCCCCCTCAGAGCATACTAAACCCTCCTTAAACCCGAAACCTCAAACCCTAAACCTCAAACCCTAAATCCCTAAATCCTAAACCCTAAACCCTAAACCCTAACCCCTAAACCCTAACCCCGAAACCTCAAACCCTAAATCCCACGATCTCAAAACACCAAAGCCCAAAGCCGCAAAACCCTGAACTCAAAACCCCCTGCACTGAGACCCCAAAGCCTCCCAAACCCTGAAGCCCCCCCAAACTCCCCAAAACCAGCGAAACCACCGAAACTGCAAGGCCCTAAACCCTAAAGTCCTAAACCCGAAGCCCTGAACCCTCAACCTCCGAAAGCTCGAAACCCCTCAACCTCCGAAAGCCCGAAACCTCCGAAACCCTGAACCCAGAGACTCCAATATCCCTAAAAAAAAGGAATATACCTTAAATCATAGTAGGGATCCTACCATGATTTAAGGAATATTCCTTAATTAAGGGATCCCTAATATGATTTAAGGTATATTCCTTAATTAAGGGATATTGGAGTCTCTGGGAAACCTCCGAAAGGCCCAGGCCAAGGCCTCTGCCAAGTCTCCGAGCTCCTCGAGTCTTCGGGAGTGCAGCGACGGCAGGCGAATCCTGTGCACCGGAAATCAAAGGGGAAATGGAGGGACCCTTAAGGGGGACCCCTACCCATAATGGGTATAGAATAGCTGTATTCAGGGTATATACCTAGGGGTCCTTATTAAGAGTCCCTCCTTTCACTCTTAGAGGGTAGGGCTGGGGGATGCTTATAAGGCTCCTATATGGCTCCTTTAAAAGGGATCTTCAAAAGGGATCTATAAGGTATCTATAAGGGTGCTTAGGGATGTTTCAAGGCTCATGGTACTTAGTAAGTAAGGGGCTTAGGGGTTCCTTTAAAGGGTATTATGGGGTTCTATAATAGGGCTCCCTGTGAGGGTTTAGGGGTTTAGGGTCTACTTAACGGCTCATGGGACTCAGTAAGTAAGGTTTCTAAGTCGAAATAATTAAGATAAAACCCACTTCAAAAACTCATAACCCCAGTTATAACCTACTTACTAAGTCCCATGATCCTTTAAGTAGGGCCGAGGGGTTCCTATAAGGCCCCTCTAACGGTTCCTAAGCGGGTTCCTAGGAGGTAGCCATCGTTGGCCATCAAGCCTAGATCCAAAGAACAGAAACACACCGAAGAACGCATCGCCCCAAGTCTCGATGGTGCCATCAGCCAGGATCGCAGCAAAGCCTGTTCATGTACCCTAAGTGTCCATGTACCCAAATTGTATATACGATATAGGGACTACTTAAGGCCAATGTATATACTATTTAGGTACATGGACCCTCAAGGGTACTTAAATGTGCTGCACATTCGTCAGCTGATCTCGGACGCTGCTGCTGTCACCACCGCCCCTGGCATTGCCCCAGGTCACGACGGAGCCATCACCAAGGATCGCAGCAAAGGCCCGTTCAGATGCATGAATCTGCTGCACATTCTTCAGCTGATGTCGCACAGCACTACTGTCACTACCAGCGTCAAGATAGCCCTAGGTCACGACAGAGCCATCGCCAAGGATCTCAGCAAACGCCCCCGCCAGTTGCTTGAACGTGGTGCACATTCTTCAGCTGATCTCGCACAGCACTGCTGTCACCACCAGAGCCAGTGTCGCCCCAGGTCACAACGGAGCCATCACTAAGGATCGCAGCAAAGGCGGACTGAGTTGCTAGAATCTGCTGCACACTCTTCAGCTGATGTCGCACAGCACTGCAATCACCACCGAAGTTAGAGTCGCCCCAGGTTGCGACGGAGCCATCTCCCATGATCGCAGCAAAGGCAGCCCTTCCGCAGCATATATCCACCCTTCGAACCTGCAACGTGAGCGGCTCCACATACTGCAGCCTGGCTTTCTTGACCTCCGCTCCTCCATCGAGAACGCTTCCAGTGGAGTCTAAGAGTCGACCTTTACCTGCTCCCAAGGCCCTCCGCGCACTCTCAGAGATTCCACGGATTCGTCCCCGTGTGCCTGCAGCGACACAGTCTTGCCACTGATGAGGCTTACCTCAAGCATAAATGACATGATGAAGACCCGGCTTCCGATTGATTAGTCTGTGGCCATCATGTTGTGTCGGGCAGCACATGCAGGTCTTTGGTGGAGGTCTCTCGTCATAGCTAGGGAAAAGCAACTGCAAACGTTGTGTCTCAGGCATTGGGGTAGACCTTGGAACCAGAAGCCCTGTTTTCAAGTCGCGTTGTGGATTGTCTTTCAAATCTCTGAGGAAACTGGCTGCGCAACAAAGGCTCTGAAGCAAAACTATGAAACTACCTGTGATACCCTGACACTCTGAACCTTACACTCCAAGAGGAAACGCTAAACTGCAAACCCCCGAATCGACAATAACCACCCCCAAACCCCAAACCCTAACCAGAAAAACTCTGAGCCGTGAAACCCAAAAAAAACAACGAGGGCTCTTGGGGGGTTGAATGCTGCGAAATCTTAGTGACAGAACCCAAGCGCCTTTCTTCAAACACTTGGAAAACCAACCGCTTCAAACCACCAGTGTGAGACTGTCTAAAACATGAATATCAGTGTAAGGCGAGCGAAAACATGAATATCATTAAGGCAGCTTTGTAAAACCGGTATCTGGGTAGTTCTCTGAATCAGGGTCCCCTTTTCGGTCCCCAAAATAGCACGGCACCCTTCCAACACAGGACCCTAAAAAGGACCCCGATTTGGAGAACTACCCAAAACGGGGTCTTAACTCTTAGAATAGAGTGTCCTTTGATCTTCCCCTAAGTGGGATCTATAAGGGCTACTAGAAAAATTCGAGACCTCCCCTCTTTCCGGGGCTGGCCTCGTCGGCCGCAGCGCCTCCGCAAAGCGCTTCCAGGGCGGCCAGGAGCCACGGAGCCCTTGGAGGAACCTTTGGGGGAGTTTTTTGGATCTTTGGAGGTTTAGGGTTTAGGCTTTATAGGGTTTAGGGTTTTCAGGGTTTAGGGTTTAGGGTTTAGGGTTTAGGGTTTAGGGTTTAGGGTTTTCAGGGTTTTCAGGGTTTTCAGGGTTTAGGGTTTAGGGTTTAGGGTTTAGGGTTTTCAGGGTTTAGGGTTTAGGCTTTATAGGGTTTAGGGTTTAGGGTTTTAAGGGCTTTAGGTTTAAAGTTTCTGGCTTGCATGGAGGAGCCTGGCCGGATCTTTATTTGCTTTCTTAGGTCTTCTCCAGGGGTTTGCATGACTGTTGCTGGGGACGGTTGAGAAGGCTCCCTTAAAAGTTGAGGGTTTGAGGCTTTCGGTTTGCGAGCTTCGAACGGTAGTTAAATGGATGAGTAGATCAGACAAGTCAAGCTATCGCTCTACAATTTCACAGCATTCTACTACGGTTGATGTTTTAAATCCTGCATTACCTTAAGGACCCTCAACTGTGTGTAATGCAAGATTTAGATCATCAACCGTAAGACCCATAATGCCTTCCTCGTTTCCGATAGCAAAGCCCACTGAGATGCCGCCTACAAAAACCTAAACCCTAAACAGATGGAGGGAAGTGCTGCTCGCACAAGCGATGAGTCACTGCTGAATTCTCTTCTCCTAACCTCTTCGAAGAAGCAACTGCTTCACACCTCACCCGAGGTAGGGTTTAGGGATCCCTACACCCCGAAAACCAAAAACAAGATCAAAACCCTGAAACCACAAACCCTGAAAAAGCAAACTCAATCCAAGCACGAAACCTAAGCACCTGGAAAACTGCAAAACACCACAGAGAACCCTACAGAACAACCAATATGCGCCCTGTTTATTCCTATAAATCGAACCTTGTAGCACCCTAAAAAAACCCTAAACCCTCAACCCTCAACCCTAAACCCCTAAAAACCTAAACCGTCAAAACAAAGCGCTCTCTGAGCTTCCAGGAAACCGACAAACCGATGCCAAGGAGTGACCGATCTCTGGGAGGGCAAGGAACTCCAGGGCATGCCTCTAAGGGCCTTTAAGGGTTCCTTTAACGGATCTCCAGGGGTTCCTTTAAGGCCCTTGAAAGGTTCCTCTAAGGGCTTGCTTTAGGGTTTAGGGTTTAGGGTTTAGGGTTTAGGGTTTAGGGTTTAGGGTTTAGGGTTTAGGATTTAGGATTGACTCAGTGTTTAGCGTTTAGCCTCGCAGGGCTTCAATGTTCAGGGATTAGCCTCCAAGGGTTTAGGTTGGGTGCTGCCCCCACGCTGTAGCAATGGTTTTTGAGGGGGCATAGTAAGGGCTGTAGATCATCATATTAAGCATATTATCTGATTGTCACAGATTGGGGGGCAGTATCCAGCCTCTAAAGGTTTACGATTTGGGTGGTTGCCAAAAATAGGGTCACTTTTTGGGTCCGCACCCAAAAAGGGCCCCTAATTTTGACAACCACCCATTTGTGGGTTGCCTTGTGGGTGCGTTAGAGGGCTTCTTTGACGATTCCTCTGAGGGACTTTGTGTAAAGAGATCTTTGCAATTCTCGATTTTCATAACCGTAAGCCTTCTCTATGTGATACCATAAGGGGTTGTACAAGTGTTCTAGATTATGCTAGACGGTTCAAGAGAGCTCTATAAGAGTTCTACATTGCAGGGCTTTCTTGCGTTCCTTTAGGGGCTGTAGGGCTTCAGCTCAACAAGGGCTCTTTAACGGTGTTCAGAAAGGTTTTGGAAGGTCTCTATAAGGGGTTTCGTACGGATGTATAAGAATGATCAACCGCTCTACAACGGCTTATACTGCTTGGGGGAAACATGATCTGTGCTTACATTGTACTTGCCTATCCCATTGCCCTGCCAACACCTCTGGAGGAACGAAACCCTTCCAGAACCCTGCACCCATACAATATCTGACCGAATTCTGATGGATTGACTTCTTATGGTGTTCTGGCCAACTTTGGGAGTACTGTGTGCGCAACCCCGAGCCCTTCTAAAAGGGGTCCCTTGTGAGCTACTTGTGGGTTCTGTGAAGCGATCTTTTACCAGGAACAAGATGCTCCGACCTGTAGCAGGGTCAGATACTGTCTGAATCTTGCACATCACCACGGAAGGCTACTAATCAGTGGTTTTGGGGGTTCCCTTGGCTCTTTAGCTCCTTATTTAATAGGGATTATCATCATCCCTGGCTCCTTAGCTCCCATAATATCAACTGTTAGGCTGTTTTGAGCTACAAGCACTGGCGAAGTAACCAATTGCAGCCAGGGTCACAGCAGAGTGGATGCGTGCAAGGAAAACCTTGGTGTTTCGTTCGGCCCACACATCCCCAGAGAACCGAGTACTCCTGAACTGAGAAACATGCGGTAAATCACATCATAAAGCGTAGTTTAGGCTATGTTCCTTACTTAGAGGGCTTGTCCTTTGTGCAGCTGTTGCTTGGCTGCAATGTAGTAGGGTCGGTTTACTCAGAACCGCCGATTCCAGAACACATGAGACGTAGCAAGCTTGAACAGACAACCCCTTGGGCTCCGACCTAGGGTGCTGACATGAATACCTTAGAAGGGGCCCCCGCCCCGTAATAGTGGTATAATAGGAATACAATAGCGACCTAATATAATCCTTATAGTCACTATTACAGGGTGGGGGCAGCTTCAAATGAATACCACTCCAGAGCAGGAGTGTCCTAACCGCAGAAAGTCTTATCAAACACCGCATCTGCGGTGCGATCTCGCGGGTGAGTGGTTCGGATTGGATTGCAACATTACGGGCATGTCAAAGTAGACAGCACTGGTAATTTAAGCGGCTGCGAAATCGACACTATGACCATATGAGCAGTTCTCTAAGTGAGGGTCCCTTTTTAGGTCTCCCAAAAGAGTACGGCACCCGATAAAACAGACCCTAAGAACGGACCCCTTTTTTGGAATCCAGGGGCTCCCTTTCAAAGACGTCCCGCTGCGGACTTCGGGCTCACAGTCGGAGTGGAGACCCTCGACCTAGCTGTCTACTTAGAGGATCATGGGACTTAGTAAGTAGGTTATAATTGGGGCTTATAAGTCCCCTAAGTGTGGTTATCACCTTACTTACTAAGTCCCATGAGCCTTTAAGTAGTCCAGGGTCATTACAAAAAAACTTAAGAGACAGGAACCACGAACCCTTATCTTGGGAAATCGAGTCCATGTTTGGGATAGTGTTGCTACTCCTTGGTTGGGAAAATTTACAATGTTATCCAAGTATGACAAAGCTATAGAAGGCCTGATAGCCGGAATTGGGCTTTGGGGGTCTATTGCAGCTTATCATATATTTGCTATGATTAAAAGAGTTATCAGTAGTTATTCCAAACCCCTATGTTAAATCCTTCAAAGTGAGCCTCCTCAACCCTGACCCTAAACAACCCTATGCCCCAAACCGTAAACCCTAACCCGTAAAAGCCTGCGCCGACGCGCCAGCCAGAATTACTCCGCTTTCTGAAATGTACAGTCGGGAGCGCATGGCAGCCTTAAAAAAAACCGTAAAAGCAAGCGAGCAGCAGCTTGGAGGATCCGACATTGTCAGAGTCCGACCACGTCGCCAGCGGCCACGGGTCGCCTGTTTAAGGCTTTAGGGCTTCAGGGTTTTGAATGGTGTCATAGGGTTTTGAGAGTTTTTAAGGCTTTAGGACTTTAGGGCTTTAGTGCTCTAGTTTTTTTGGGTTGAGGTTTCAAAGTGTGCAGGATGTTCGGTGTTTTAGATTTGCCTGAGATTCCGAAGTGGGGTTGTTGTTGAGGGGTTTAAGGCTTGGGAAAAACTCATGACAAACATGCCTTGGAAAGTGCGAGAGCATGTAAATTCTGCCATGCTATATTGAAGAAATCCTCAAGTATGTTTTGCTTGGGGGTACTGGATAGTTTGGGATTCTGGCGGGAGAAGAGCTTTGTAAGAGTATGGAGTTTAGAAGACTGGATAGGGTGGTGTAGCTGTTCACTCATTGTTGAAGGAGTGGGTTGCAGAACGACAAGCCGCAAGTCATTTTTTCATGTATTTTAACAAGACTCGACACATGCTGTTGTGTCTGTGTCGCTCTTCTCTCTCTCTCTCTCTCTGCGTCTCCGTCTCTCTGGCTGGTTGCTCGCTGCTGGCGCTTGCTTGTGGGCGTATTTAGGGACCCAAAAAACACATAAGCATAAGCATTTGATAGGGATATCCCTACCTTATTGTGCTTCATTACAAGGGGGGCTTATACGGGCTATCCCCATTCTCATTTTTGCTTATGTGCTTTTTGGGGCCCTGGTATTATCGCTCCTTGAGAAACCAAACAGCCGTGCGGAAAACGCTTCTGCAGACCATCCATCTCACAGCCACCAGAGTCTGGACGTGGTGCCCACGACACATAAGTTTCCAACATAAGGCAAAATCATTGAAACAACCCTCCCCACAGATGCGAAATCGCACGATGGCAACAGGCTGTTGCTTCAAATGATACAGAGCGAATATGGAGGTTTCAGAAAAGTAGGCTACCTTATTTCGCATCCGTATGACGAGGATCCTACCATATCGGGCTCTGTATTTGGATCCCATACTGTCTAAAACTCGAGATATCTCAGCATGCAAACTGCGGTTCGGCTCGTCTCTGGCTCAGCCCTTTATGGGAGAACAATACCTGTTGCCGAAAAGACCTACCTTTTTAGGGTTCCTTATTATTGTTTCTATATGGGAGTTTCCGAAAACTATGGATACCTTATTTTTAGGGTAGGGTCCTTATAATAAGGATGCTACTATTTAGGGTACTGTATTAAGGTCCCCCTATTTTCGGAAACCCCCATATAGGAGTTTCCGAAAATAGGGGACCCTAATATACTACCCCAAATAGTAGGATCCTTACTATAAGGAGCCCAAAAATAAGGCAGACCCTATTTTCGGAAACCCCCATAGAGTTCCTTAAAAAAGGTAGGTCTTTCGGGCCACGGGTCAGGATTTCTACGGCAGTGGGCACAGGAAGGGCTACGAGTCCTCAAGATCCTACTTAGAGGATCATGGGACTTAGTAAGTAGGTTATAATGGGGTTTATAAGTCCCCGGGTTATCCTGATTATAAGCTACTTATAAACTTACTCACTAAGTCCCATGAGCCTTCAAGTATATGGGTTCGGCAAGGGTTCTCGCCTAAACCCTAAACCCTAAACCCGGAACCCTACAAGTATGAGGGTTCCAGAGAGCCCAATACCCCTTAATTCAAGAAGATGGTTTTTAAGTTGTTTTCTGAGATCTAAGGGTTTCCTACTATTTGCTTAAGAACCCCGCCTAAAAATAAAAAATGATAATCCCTATATTATCCCTATAAGGAATGTATTTTTTATTTTTGGGGGGGTTCTTAAGCAAATAGTAGTTTCATATTGTGACTTAAGCTCTATCCCTTCATCAAGGGGTATTGGGCTCTCTGGGGAACACATATAGCACTGCCACCCTAAACCCTAAACCCAAACTCTGAACTTTCAAGAGTATGGGGATCCTATAAGGGATCATGGGGGGGACCTTATTCTAGAACTTCAGAGGGCCCCCAAAAGACCCCCTAGCGGCTCCAGCCATTCTAGCCTTGCGGAGGGTTTTCATTCAGATCAGGACTTCGGGATTCAGATCGGGGCCTATAGAGTTCCTTTAGAACAGAAACCCTAGGATTCCTTTAAAGGGTTCCTTTAAGGGATCCTATCAAGGGTTCTATAAGGGGGAGTTTGGGGTACTTGGAGGATCATGGGACTTAGTAAGTAGGTTGTAACTGGGGTTATAAGTCCCCGAAGTGGGGTTATCCTAATTATAACCTACTTATAACCCTAGTTACTAAGTCCCATGATCCTTTAAGCAGGGTTCCCGGTTTAGAGTCCAAAACTGTTGGGTTTTAGGGTTTAGCTGGGTTTAGGGACTTGGAGAATTTTTAGAGACTCTAACTATGATCAGGAAATAGTATTGTGGTTACTAACCCAGGATTCTGTATTGCGCTCCTCTTTCGTCTGACCTCCGACCGTCTCAGTATGGGATGCGAAGAGCCAGTCCTCGATTAAGACATAGTCCAGCTCAGGCAGTTCGTCAAGCATTCTGAGGCATTCTGAAATTCGGTTGGTCATGGGCTTCCCCTTGGAGTTGAAGCTGGTGTTGATGAGAGCAGCAAGACCGCTTCGCTTAGCAACTGCCAGGAGCAATTCGTGGATCCAGGGCTCATCTGATTTTGCCACTGACTGATGCCGAGCAGTGCCATCAACATGTGCCAGCGCAGGATACGCAGCCCTCACTTCATCTAGCACCTTTGGGGCCATGGTCATGTACGTAGATTTCACAGTCCTGCCGAAGACTTGAATCAGTGCTTCCTCAGCAATCATTGGCGCAACAGGCCGATACCACTGCCGGCTTTTCAGCCGGTTCAAGCGGCTTCGGATGTCGTGGGAGTCAGGGCTGGCGAGCAAAGAACGGTGGCCCAAAGCTCTCGGTCCAAATTCCTGGCGTCCACGGACCACAGCAACGATTGGCCTGTCTTTGCTCACATTGCTCCTCTCCTTCCGCCATGTCGGACCACCCGCTAGCAGCTCGGCGAGAAAGTCGACATCACCAAGCTGCGCCAGGCTTCTGGCAGAACGATTCCGCGCATGTTCGTCCAGAGATTCCAGGTCCCACAATCTCATGCCCGTATATTGCAAAGGCTTTCGCTCTAAGGGAGGTTGCAGTTTGAAGATGCCTGCAACCGCGAGGCCTGCATCGTTGGCTGCTGCTGGTACAAAGACACCCAAACGAACAAGCCCAGGGGTTCTTGCAAACACATCGAAGACGAGCTGATTGAACAAGACGTTCAAGGCACAACCGCCGGAGAAAACAACACCCTCCACCTCTGTGTGATCTTCGCTGAGCATTAAGACTGACAGGACGATCTCAAAAGCAATGCGTTGAAAAGCCTCCTGAATGGACGCTGCAAGGTCACGCTGCTGTTGCAGAGACCCACAGCCAGCACCCACGATGACCGGCGGCAGCGGAGGTTCCAGCGTCCAGTGTCGGGGCATGTATTCGCGCATGTACTCCTCTGTCGCAGCGAGAAGCTCATGGGATGCTTCTCCGAGCGCAGAATATCCCATGAGCTTCCCCGGTACAGACATGTACCTTTGCCAATCCGTGAAGTCAAGAAGATGTAACGGGTATGCCACTCCAAACTGATGCTTTTCGAAAGCCTTGCAAACCTGATCCTGTCGATATCCAATGACCTCTTCAAGCAGTCCTCCCAAGATGTTGTAGACCTCGCCCATATTGTAGTCCTTAGGTGCCGAGTTCATAAGCCAAAAAAAGTTTAAACTTTCTGTTTTAAGAGGGTTTCATTATCCCAAAAAGTTTAAAGTTCATAAACTCAGCTACTAAGAGTCTAACCGTGCCAGAGGCCCTTGCAACTCATGACCTCGACCCAGGTACACATTGAACTGTCCGTCGTTGGCGCCGTTTCCAATGGCGAAAACCAGGGCAGAACGGAAAGGTGAAGAAAAGAAGCCCATCTGTGCGTGTGCCTCGCTATGATTCATGTACTGCCACTGCTTTACCGTGAAGAAGCCCTCAACAACTATCGGAAGATAGACGAAAGTCGCCGCCTCTACCTCCCAGGTCCTTACAATCACCCCATAATCAAAGTGCGACGGACAAGGCCCATCCTCGCACTCGCACGTCTCCTGTAAAGTGTGCAAAGCATGTGACCAGTCTGTGTGGAAAGGGAGTAACTGCTCCTCCTCCGAATGCCTCCACCCGGGGGAGTTGTAGTACCGCTCTTCAAACAAACGCTCGAGCTCTAGCACACATTGCACCCGCCCATCAATGCCCACAGCAACACTAGCATCGTGATTTAAGTAGAACGAGATCACAGCGCTCCCGCGCCCACGCACTTGCCTTAGCTCTTTCTCCTCTTCTCGCTTCTTGAAGCTTGAAATCTCAGTAATGCGCTCTTTGATGTCGTCGATGCCACCATAGTAGGCATCTTCCTTTTGATGAAATGGCACCTTCAAGTTCCTTCGATACAAAAGAGCTTCCTTTCCTCGCCGCATCGCAAGGCGTGCCATCCGGGTGAAAGTTGGAGAGCTCCATGATCTAACCATGGCCCCGGCATCCCATGACCTTGCTGGAAGCAGCGACACCACGACAAACGTCCAGAAGCAGTTTCTGCGCATGGGATCCACTGCAATGCAGAAAGATCGGTGGTGGAGGTCTGCGCACCCCTAAACCCTAAACTCTAAACCCTGCAGTATGGCTGCGAACGAAACTTACTTTCCTTCACGCCTTCCTTGCGGCATCTGAAGCGGCCCCAGTGGGTGTATCAACCTAGGCACCCCTTTTTGGGTCCTTATTATCAAAAGGGATCCTTAAAAGGTTCCTTAAAGGGAGCTATAAGGGTTCTATAGAGGGCGTCCTGAAGCTCTCCTACCCTCGGAATCCACATTCCTTAGTCGCAGGAGCTCACCTGTCTGACAGCCTGACAACCACCGGAAATGGCAATGATGCTCAATCACTGCAACGCACGTGTGAACAACCGCTTGAATGCTACCTTCATATCATGGGGCTCTGACCGAATCATATGTGCCACTTTAGGGGAAGATTAGAGGAATAATAGTAGTAATCACTCACACCCCTAGATTACTTCAACCCGCATAAACTGAATCGTCAAACTCCAAGTCCTGCACCCTCAGACACTGTTCCCTGACCCCCAAGCACATGCCAAAACCCTTCGCGCTCAAAGCCTGATAGCCCAAACCATAAGCAGAAGCCCCAAATTTAGGGTTTAGGGTTTAGGGAACTCAAAACCCTAAACCCTAAACTCTAAACCCTAAACCCTAAACCCTAAACCCCACAACTCAAAATCCCAAAATCCGAATCCTAAAAGCCTCCGATCCAGCACAAGTTCGTGAAGTTCCAAATGCCCCTTAACAAAGGAACAGAGCTTAAGGTCATAAGGGGCTTCATTAAGGGATCTATAGGGTATTGGGTGAAGGGGACTCGACTCCAAAAACCCTTAATTAAGGAATATAACTTAAATTATAGCAGGATCCCAAGTATGACGCAAGCTATATTCCTTGATTCAGGGGTATTGATCTCTCTGGGTTCGCCGAGCTCCTGGCTTGCTGCGGAGGCGCGGACCGTCTCCTGGGGCTCTTCCACCGGAACCTCCCGGAGCTCGCCGGTCTCTACTTGAAGGATCAAGGAACAGAAACCCTAGGATTCCTTTAAAGGGTTCCTTTGAGGACTTTTACAGGTTGTTTACAGCTTTGGAGATTAGAATATCCTATACTGAACTTAGAACCCTAGCAAAAATTAAGATCTCAGCGGTTTCTTAGGGATTATAATAACCCCAAATTAAAAAATTATTTCTAAGTACACCTAAGTATCGGGCTTTGAAAGGTTAGGGCTCCTTTTAAGGGTACTGTAGGGTTCTATAATAGGGTTTCCTGTAAGGGTTTAGGGTTTAGGGTCAAATTAAAGGCTCACGGGACTTACTTAGTAGGTAAGGTTGTAGGAGGTTAAAATTAGGATAACCCCACTTAGGGGACTTATGACTTCAAATATAGTTGATAGGTTTCCGTGAACCGCTATGTGCTTCTTCCCACAGTCTTATGAGGTTTTACGAAATGGCAAATGAGAACTTACGAACAGGAAAATGAGCTTTCCTGGAGCTATACACCAGATAGTTAATGAGCCCTCAGCGACTCCAGGGGGGTCCTTGAAAGCAGCTTTATCGGATTCTGTGTGCCCGAGACCAAGCCATACCCCCCCACCCCCTCACCCTGGACCAAAATTGAACGGGCTGGACGCCTTTCCTTCGCAACTTCAAACCTCCAGGCAGATTTGATAAGACCACCCCGAAGCCTATGAAATCCCAAAACCAAGTTCTGCTTGTTTGTATGTTAAGGTTGCCCTTAGATGTGGCGAGATTTTTCTTCTTACCCACAGGGTAGGAGTCTAGTACCGGTACTTCCAACGTGGTCTAAGGTCCTAAGAGTTTAAGCTTCACACAGACTCCAATATTCCTAAACCAAACAACACCCCCAAAACGTGATACTGCTGATGGACAAAACCCTGCATTACCCATTATAAGGAATATACCATAGTTCCCATAGTTTAGGGTCCTTAGGGTCATGCAGGATTTTGTCCATGAACAGTAGGACTCTTCTTGCGATGATAAAGCCCTGTAAGTGAAACAGTATTCATCTGCGAGGGGTCTTCAGAATTCACTACTCATCCCAAAGTACTGTGCCTGCTGGTTGCTGGGCTCGGGAAGGTCATCGTAGAGGCCGGCCATTCGCCGAGATCCCAAGTTTGTTGTGGAGGCTTTACCCGTTGACTGGTATGAGGTATTAGGCTATATTATAGCACATTTATGTGTAGTGGCTACAAAGGGATACGAGTACTACTCATTCTGACGTCTATAGCAAACGGTAAGGCCGGAGTACTTGGGGTTGCAGGGTTACAGGGTTGCAGCGTGCCGGGCGCAGAAGCGGGCCGGTTCAAGCTTCTAGCATTGAACTATGGTTGTGCTCCGACGTGTAGGGTTTGCGGTACAGTGCTTGGGGCTGCTGCTCAGTCTTGGGCGTGCTACACATGCTTCAGCGTATCGAGGGTTGGGTCTGGGCCGTCCAGGCGAGATTCTTAGGCTTGCTGTTTCTGGAATTGAGCAGCTACAAGCTGGAACGGATGACTGCCCTTCAATCCCAAAGCTCCATCCCAATAGATCTAAGCAACCCTACAGGCGAAATCAAACCCTTACAAACCTCGACCCCTAGCCCCAAACCCAAAACCCAAAACACCCAGAGCGAAAACTCTCAAGCCAAAACCCAGCTTGAACCATCGATTAAAGTTTGAGCTCCAACTTGACATTTTACCGGTTACCGTCTGTCATTAACTGCTCATAACCTCGTAGCTGTCCCCCTTGGTTTTCGGAGTTTATGTTCAAAGCTTTAGGGTTTAGGGGTTTGGGGCAAAGGAGTTGGGGGCTTGGGGGCTTAAAGGTTTTGAATCCTCGGCTGATCTTCACAAGGTCTTCTTCACAGAGCTCGCAGTTCGATTACATGCCCAGGAAGCCCCTAAACCCTAAACCCCTAAACCCCTGAACCCCTAAACCCTAAACCCCTAACCCCTAAACCCCTAAACCCCTAAACCCCTAAACCCCTAAACCCCTAAACCCCTAAACCCCTAAACCCTAAACCCCGAAACCCCTAAACCCCTAAACCCTAAACCCCTAAACCCCTAACCCCTAAACCCCTAAACCCTAAACCCTCGACCGAAACCTTTCGCCAAACCAGGGCCATCCCCCCGTTGTGGGTGATAAGGGAGTTTCCGAAAATAGGGGGTACCTTACTTTGGGGTCCTTTAAAATATAGGGGTGCCTTACTTTGGGGTCCTTTAAAATATAGGGGTGCCTTACTTTGGGGTCCATTAAAATATTGGGGTGCCTTACTTTGGGGTCTTTTAAAATATAGGGGTGCCTCACTTTAGGGTCCTTTAAAATAGGGATCCTACTATTACTATTTAGGGTGCTGTATTACACCCCCTATTTTCGGAAACTCCCGCAAGAATACTGACACGTACGCTGCTGGGGTCGAATAAGGCATTGATTGATAGCAGTGGTGGAAGGATCATGGAACTTAGTTAATAATTGGGGTTGTAAGTCCCCTAAGTAGGGTTATCCTACTTATAACCTTACTTACTAAGTTCCATGAGCAGTTATGTAGACCCTACACCCTAAGCCCTAAACCCTTAAAGGGAACCCTGCTATAGAACCCTATAGTACCCCCTAAAAAGGAACCCTAAACCCTGCTTTCTAAGTACCATGAGCCATTCAGCAAGCATCCTAAACTTAAGTGGTACAGCCCTACAGATCCCTTGTAGGAACCCTTACAGTAGAAGCCAGAAAGTTGGAACATTGTTATTCTCATTCCCTTAAGGTAAAGTAGAGGAAATCCCAGCACTAATCGTCCTAAGTCCATGTTCCAACTTTCTGGGGGTTCACTATAAAGGAACCCTACAGATCCCTTAAAAGAACCCTTAAAGGAACCCTACAGATCCCTTTAAAGGAACCCTCAAAGGAACCCTTAAAGCTGCTGCCGGAAGAGTTAGGCCCGGCTCCGAAGTAGCCCAGCATGGGCTTCTCCATACGCTGCTGCATCAGAGCACACCTCGGAAAGAACCCCTACAAGGGTTCTTTTTGAGGGTTCCTTTTAAGGGTGCCGTTTCGGATTCCTTTAAGGGATCTGAGAGGATCTTACAAGGGTCTGAGGGTTTAGAAGTTTAGGGTTTACGGTTTCGGTTTTAGGGTTTAGAGGTTCGGGCTTAAGGCCTAGGGCTTAGGGTTAAGGGACTAATGAGGGTCTCGCCCGCGGCTCTTTCTAAGCGTCCTGTCAGGGTTCTACAAGAGTTAAAGGTTTTCGTGGGTTCTTGTAAACGGACCCTCAAACAACCGGAAAAGAAACCGCATAGAACCCCTCTAGAAGCCCTATCAGAACCCTAAGGAGCCCGTCGGATGTCGCACATTGAAAAATTCGGTTTCGGGGCTTGGGATTCAGGGTCGGAGGGTTGTAGGTTTTGCATGTAGGAATGCAAGACCTCAAACTGTTAGGGCCTCTCTCCTTGCAGTCTTGACTCAAGCAGATTGGGGCTCCCTTGCCAGGCATCTCTCTTCCCAGATTTTCGGGAGGATCCCAAAAGTAGATCCCTTAATGGGGGTTCCTATAAAGTACCCTTAGTAGTATAGGGCCCCGAATAAGGGGATCTACTTTCTAGATCCTCCCGGGAAAATGGGTTTGCAAGGTTGCTGTTGGTGCAAGGGTATCTCTTTCCTCTACACACGAGCATTTCAACATGGGGGCAGCAAGTGCCTCTGGGCCATGAATTCAGGATGTGTAGGGCTCAGATGCATCCGGCGCTTAAAGGTGGAAGGTTTTGGGTGCTAGTTGCTAGTTTTAATTCGAGCTGATTCCTTCCACGCAATGTAGTACCCTAAACTTGACCCCAAACTCTGCAAAAGGGCTGGATGGCTGTAACATGAAAGAGTGTACAAGTATCTTTTGGCTCCCAGGGTCCCGAAAAAAAACTCGGTCCCAAAGCAAGCGCTGTGCGTCTTCAAACTTAATTAAAAGCAAAAGGGAAGCTGCCGAAGCATCCTAACCCTGAGTTTGATTCCAAGAAGGGGCGTGGGGAAGAAGTCAGTGTAGCGACGGGATGCATCAAATCCGAGAAAAAAAGAAAAACGCTATCCCAGGGCGCGGACACGACGAAAGGGCTGGTGCACACAATAGCATCGATGGCCATGGACCCCAGAAGGTGTGCAGCGATGTCCTAGGCCCAGCAGAAGGTTAGGGTTTAGGGTTTAGGGCTTCGGGTTCAGGGGTAAGATCACCCCAACAAAGGCCATGGATCGGACGCACCTTGCCGCTGGTTCCTGGAGCATTCTCCTACTGCATACCGGCATACCGGCATGCCCGAACAGGGCAAGGGCTCTGTTCAACACAGGTACAACTATTAGGGTCAATGGCTTAGGAGCTCAAACTATAGAAATGAGCTTGTCACGGTGACAATGTCATCGTTCTGCTCGCAGGCACGAAGCTATGCACGCCTCAATATGAAGCGGACATGCATGCACGCAGGTTGCCTATGCAACGCAGCGCAGAGCAATGGGGAACGCAACTAAGAGTAGAAGCCGGCCTTGCATGTGATGCCGTCTACCCCAGACCTTCCAAAATCTCTTAACTAAGGAATATTCCTAGGGTTCCCTTTAAGGGATCTATAAGGGATTTATAGGGTATAGGGGATTCTAACGTCCCTTAATTAAGGAAGATTCCTTTAATCATATTGGGGATCCTACTATAAAACAAAAGTATATTCTTTAATTAAGGGGTTTTGGAGGCTCTGGGAAGCTATGACGATGCGCTGCAATGTAATGTGACTAGATGGAAAAATATTTTATGATCCTACAGATTCCTACAGCCTCACATTTCCAGTGAACTGAATTGTATGTAGTGGCTGCACCCTAAACCCTAAGCTATAGCTGAACACATTTGGTAGTTTCCGAAAATGGGGGACCCTAATATAGTACCCTAAATAGTAGGATTCTTATTATTATCAGAAACCCAAAATAAGCCACCCCTAATGTTCGGAAACTCTCATTTCAAACCACAGAAGCCCTAAACTAAGCGGCAAAGTCTCGGCAGAAGCGTTTGCGCACTCTCAGCCCTGGGTTGGAATTCCTTTCCCAGAGACTCCAATATCCATTCATTAAGGAATATTCCTTAAATCATATTAGGGATGCTATTATAATTTAAAGTATATTCCTTAATTACGAGATATTGGAGTCTCTGGGTTCATGCCTGTTGTAAATGCCGCAAACAGTGTAATGTAGCAACCTGATTAAGAAACCCTGGGTCCACAACCCCAAAATAGTAGGGTTCATATACAGAACGCTTATAAAGGCCCAAGTTTTCTTGATCAGGTTCCTACATTACAGATGCACCATCTGTTTTCCTATCTTAAGAAAACCCCCTAAACCCTCGACCCTACTTGAAGGCTCATGGGACTTAGTAAGTAAGGTTATAAGTAGGTTATAATTAGGATAACCCCACTTAGGGGACCCTATAACCCCAATTATAACCTACTTACTAAGTCCCATGATCCTCTAAGTAGGAATGCGGGACCTAAAACTCTTAGGGCCTCTCTCCTTGCAGTCTTGACTCTAGCAGATTGGGGCTCCCTTGCCAGTCCCCTAAGTCCCATGAGCCTTCAAGTAAACCCTCGACCCTAAACCCCAAACCCACCCCAAAGAGACTCTAAGTATACCCAAACTTCCCCTTATAGATCCCCTACAGATCCCTTAAAGGAACCTTTTAAGGAACCCTAAATTCCTAGTAACCAACCCCGTAACCAACCCCAAAGAGACGGTAAGCCGCTTCCTGAGACCCGGGCCGAGACGGCCTCTGAGATGACCTGCAAGGTGTAGCCTGGCTTACTTTGGGTTCCTTTGCGGAAAGAACCCCTACTTGAAGGCTCAAGGGACTTAGTAAGTAAGGGCTTAGGGCTCCCTTTAAGGGTACTATAGGGTTCTATAATAAGGGTTTAGGGTTTAGGGTCTACTTAAAGGCTCATGGGACTTAGGAAGTAAGGTTATAAGTAGGTTATAACCCCACTTAGGGGACTAATAACCCCAATTATAACTTACTTACTAAGTCCCATGATCCTCTAAGTACAAGGGTTGGTTCCTTTACGGGTTCCTTTTAGGATTCCTTTAAGGGACCTAGGGGGATCCTAGAAGGGTCTTAGGGTTTCGGAGTTTAGGGTTTGGGGTTTGGGGTTTAGGGCTTCGGGCTTAAGGCCTAGGGGTAGGGTTACTTTGGGCCTCAATTTTTGGAATGGGGTTTTGAGGTATATTTTAAAGGTATCATAATAAGGAACCCGAAAGAATTTGTTTATGAATGATTCAAACTTTTCTTTGGGGTTCGTGGGACCTGGGAAGTAGGGTTTTGTCAAGGGTTTCGGTATTTTTTTGAAGGATCGGAAGGCGTGTTCAGGGTTAGGAATGGTAAGCGGCGTTTTTGAATGCCCGTTTTTCGTAAAAGTACGTCGGGTTAGGAGTCTATAGAAGATTAGGGTTAAGACTCTACTTTAAAAGTTCCTGGGACTTCGTAAGGGGCTCTGGATATTCGCAAAGACTTTCTAAGTCTCCTGAGCCCCTAAGTTCGGTTTGGGCTTCAGGGGCTTTGTACGATGCAGGCTGAGGCTTTGGGATGTTCCACCGGAACCTCCCGGAGCTCGCCGGTCTCTACTTAAAGGATCAAGGAACAGAAACCCTAGGATTCCTTTAAAGGGTTCCTTTGAGGACTTTTACAGGTTGTTTACAGCTTTGGAGATTAGAATATCCTATACTGAACTTAGAACCCTAGCAAACATTAAATTTTTAGCTGTTTCTTAGGGATTATAATAACCAAAAGTTAAAAATTATTTCTAAGTACCCCTGAGATGTGGCGTTGAGGGCTGCAGCCCCCCAAATCCGAAACTTGCAAGCTCACATTCCACCAACGACGACCTACTGAGCGTATGCAATTAGCACGGAAGGCCAAAAACTGTGCGGCTCACATCCTGGACCCACGCATCACGGCCAAACACTCCGGAACGTTCAGAAACCCTAAACCCTAAACCGAGGGTCTTGCAAAAAAGGATGCCAACGAAGCATTGCAACTATTTACCGACTCCGAAGCATAGAACCACACATCCTAAAACCTGTACCCTACATTCAAAACCCCGAACCCTATACCTCAAACCCTAAACCCGCTATGGTTTAGGGTTTAGAGTTTAGGGTTACCCTACGAAACTCATAGGACGCATGTAACACCCTCCTAAACCTCTGCAAAATGCCAAGCGAAGCCAGCAGCACGCTCATAAGGTGGCGGCGACTCGAAGCGCCCGATGAGGGCGGCCAGGGGATCCTTCCGAGAACCCGTTACACAGAGAGCCCAGTACCCCCGCAATTAAGGTATAGACCTGAAATGATAAGGGGCTAGCTGTTTCATGAGTTAAGATGCTTGCTGTGCTGCCAGGCTCAGGTTACAGGGTTTAGGCCTGCGGTTTTCCTTTGTGGGACACGGTCTTTCGAGGTCGGGAGGACCTTCAGTTCTTACTTAAAGGCTCATGGGACTTAGTAAGTGAGGCTTAGGGCTTGGGGTTCCTTTTAGTAGGGCTCCCTGTAAGGGTAGGGTTTCAAGAGTGTCAAGCTCTGGGGCCTCCGGGCCTCTGCAACTTTTCTGATTTGTGCAGTGCACTACTAGGCTTTCTGACCCGAAGGCGGACATGTCATAATTTTCTTAGGAGGGAGCTGCCCTAGACCGGAAACTTTAACACAATGCTAGAAAGACGGCAAGGATAGCATCGGCTTTTTTCAATGAATATCGCGGGGAGCAAGTGCTCTCGATCAGTGTTGCCGCAGGGGAGGAGAACCATAAAAAGTTACAGTGAAAACAGTAGTCACGGTAGCTTTATTACTGTCATTATTGTTATTGATGCTGTTATGATTATCCTTATCTTTGTTATTACTGAATCGAATGATGATATTGTTTTCATTGTAATGACTGTTCTGTTCTGCTGATTTTTAAACCATCACTGTGAGTCACAGATGCTTAGGCTGAATATTCTTGATATCGCTAGTATTCTGAATACTCGCATTATTATAGAATTCCCTTCTTTTCATTCTTATTCCTTCTTATCATTCATAGTATATGATGTTCATACTTGTTATGCTTGGGAATATTGCCATTTCAATATTGTTCCTTCGTCACATTGTTAACTCTTTGTGTTTCTACTTTTCTTACTTACTATGCTTTTCATTGTTGTCAGTTCTTACTGACATTGTTAGTATGACTATTGCAATTATTGTTAACATTGTCACTCATAGTTTTATGCATTATATGATTCTTTGTGTTAGTGGCAGTAGTAGTAGTAGTAGTAGTAGTAGTAGCAGCAGCAGCAGCAGCCGCAGGAGTAGTAGCAGTAGTAGCAGTAGCCGTAGCAGTAGCAGCAGCAGCAGCAGCAGCAGCGGTGGCAGCGGCACTTTCAGTGGCAGCTCGTCGTCGTCGTAGCAGTAGCAGCAGTCTCCATAGCCAATACGTCAATAGATGTAAGAATATCAATGATGACTATAATGGTAATGATTCTACTGGCAAAGCAAAGTAGATATAACAGTAGTATAGTGATATGTTTAGAAAAACAGAACTCCTAACGAGAATAGCTGGATTCAAAACAGAGCTAGGTGTAACAGTCCTCGTAACCATAAACTGAGGTATGGTATTCATGATGGAAACCTAGATGTTTGAGCTCTGCTGCTTGGACAACCATCCCCTGGCAACCACCTTGTCTAAGATGAGGGAGGATTTTTAGATAAACACATCTACGCAGCATGCGGCATTGGCTGTGCATGACTCGAGCGTCCTCACATAAAAACGGCGGAAGAAGACAATATTTTATGCAAACGCAAGATAGCTCAGTCAGACCACTGCCACGACAGTTGTTGCAACTACCTTTCCCTTGTCATGTCTACGAAACTCCGAAGCACTACAACCTCACAAGTCGAAACAGGGGAAGAGCAGGTTTGCGGCGCGGATTCCTCATCTCGAAACCGAAAGCCTAAACGAATCGTCTGTATAGTGAGTACCTTCGTGGTCTTCATCACACTTGCAATGATATGGATGACGGCAATAGTCATGGCTGCTGCACAAAACTTCGAAGACATGCACGGTACGTGTTTCCAAGCAGCAGTAATGACGTTAGAACTGACATAGCAACAACAAGGTACGCTAGAAATCCCGAGGAGCTTAGGGGTTTGGACTAGCGGTGTCCAGCAGATTCTCGGAGGACGTTCATCACAGCATCGGCTAAGCAAAATCGAGATAGGACTGGGATGAGCCCCGCGAGGCTGTTGTACCCAGGAGAGTTCAAGCGGAAGGGCTTTCGGTTCAGGGTCTGCGGGTTTAGGTTTAAAGATTCAGGGTTCAGACCCTAAACTCTAAACCCTTAAGCCTAGGGGTTTCGGGTTCAAGGTTTTGGGGCTTGGGGTTTGGGGCTTAGGGTGCAGGGTTTGGGGCTTAGGGTGCAGGGTTCAGGGCGAAGTCTCGGATCTTCTATTTTCCCAGGCTCGGCATGTTCCTTGTTATGATTCTAGTATAGTGTGCCCATCAAGGTCCCCTACTATATTAGTGTTAAATCTGGAAGGTCGTGAGGATCTCTACAGTAGTTTACACAAGGCTCCGCACTTCATAGGGGACATTACCTGGTAAACCCTGAGTCCTAAACCCCATATGAAACCTACGTCTCTGGGTGTGGTTTCCGTAGATAAGACCAGAAAAAGGTAGGATATTTGGGGTTAAGGTAACCTCTAACTCCAAATCCTGGACTCGAAATCCTACACCCTAATTTAAAAACTGGACTCTCTGAATCCTAAACCATAGACCCTTGATTCCTTTTAGTGTTCGTTGTAGGGCGGATTCCTTTAAGGAGGATCCTTGTAGGGTTTGTTTTCAGGCTCCGTCTAGGGTTCCGTTTAGGGGTTGCACCCTTCCGGGCTGAGTTGCAGAGCCTCGAAGGGCTGCCTCTCTCGTCTGGCCGTTTGCTCGCATGTGGCAAGGCCGCCGCATAGGTCATGCTTTGCGGCGGTTTAGGGTCTAACAAAAATAAGGTTTTGGGGGCCATAATTATACTATGATTATCATCCGGAACCCCAACATAGTATAGGTAATTATTTAAGCCCCGTATAGTAAGCTAAGGGCTTTTGGGTTTAGGGCTAAGCTTAAGGGCTAGAGTCTGGAGGGCCTCACGGCCGACTTGATCAGAGCCGTCAAAGCATGACAGGTTCTACGGGTCTAGAGTGCCGAGGTCTTTTCCGACCTCACTCGGCGCCTTCTCTGCTTTGGTCGGCGCGACCTACGTTCGAGCGTCCCTGGATTCGAAAGGATGACTTCACAAACAGCGAGATCTTAGTTCAGGAATAGTTTACATTAGTTTCCCTTGATACCACTCTATACATATAATAACACAGCCCAAAACCCTATTCCTGATTGTACAGGGGCCTACGGCGGGGACCTTGGAGGGTCCTCTAGCACAGGCGCTTCTGTCCGTTGTGGAGTCCGCCTCGCGTGTCCAGGGACATTGCAGCAACCTTTTCAAATGAGTTAAGAACTGCTGAGGATGCTCCAACGCTTGCCTAATGGCCCTGCAAGATCAGGCTCTTGCAGGTTACAACTGGGGCCTACGACAAGACTACGTACATGGGCATGAGAGACATCAACGAGAAGCGAGAGAACTTCCCGCAGGCCAGCATGCAGGTACCCTGAGCGAGCATCCGCAGGCAATTAGGAAGCTCCCGGCGCATTACCCCCGGGATCATCACGAAACAGTGAATAATTGGACTACGGTTTTTTTGGGGGTACATTATACCAGAATTCTACTAAAGGGTGTACATTATATTAGATTTCTACTAAAGGGAGTACACTATATTAGATTTCTACTAAAGGAGCCTCAGCCCAAGTCTCCCTGAGCCTGCTGTCACTCACGGCTGACATCTACAGGAACCCTGCGAGGGTTAGTGTAGATACGGTTGGTAGCGTGCAGGGGCCCGCCGAGGCCGTGTCTCCGTCATCCTCTGGCTCCTTTGAGCTGGTGCCTTTACCTTCCGAGCCTGCCTCTTCCCTTGCTGGTTACCTCCCGGAGGTTCAATCACTTCCTCCCTTTGTGCCTAGCGCTTCCCGTGTGAGTCAGGAACCCCCTGCCTCTAGCGCTCCCCTTGCAGCCGAGTCCGCTCCTGACCAATACCAGTTCCGCCGTCGTCCTCCGCGTCGGTGCCAGAGTACCCCTTGCCTGGGCTTTCGCCCCCCGAGTTGGCCGAAGCACCGCCCAGCTACATCTTGGACTCCTCAAGGCATCTGGGACACTGCTGCATCAGCCCTCGGGCCCGGGTCCTTCGAGCTTGGAAGGCCGGTTGCTCTGCGGGTCGGGTCTTGAGGTCGGAGGTTGACTACGTTGACAAGACCCCTCCGATCAACCTTTCCAACCGATTCTGGACGCGGGCCATTGACTCCCCGGTTGTTGTGCGTTCTTTCACTGAGTACAAGAACCTGCCAGGTGTGCTTGAACGGCGGTGGTCCGTGAGCCACGCCTTTCCTTCTGAGACCGAGTGCCGGGCATACTGCGCAGGCGCCGGCCTTCCTTATCCGGCCTGATGGAATTTGCTGGCCTGACTCCCGCTTCCACCGGTGCAGTCGAGAAGCTTTAGCAGGTTGGCATATTCACATGCCCATGTTGTTGAAAATCCCTCTTCGCAGACCGCTAAGCCCCTCTTCACAGACGGCTAAACCAAGCCCAATCCCCTAAACCCCTAAACGCTTAAACCCCTAAACCCTAAACCCTGAACCCTTAAGCTTTACTGAAGCCTGAACCTCTGAACTTGAACGCTGAATCAACCTCCTCACCTCTCCAGCTTCTGCATCCAGCTCCAACCCAGAGCCTCCAAAGCCCCTTAATTTCGGAGTATACCTGAAACTATAGTAGGTTCCCGAAAACTCCTAATTAAGGAATGTAGCTTAAATCATAATATGAAGCCCTATATAAATTCAAGCCATATTCCTTAATTAAGGGGTATTGGGCTCTCTGGGTTTGGTAGGTTGGTTTCAAGACTTGGCATAACCCTAAACCCTAAACCGTCACAGAATCTCTATGCCATCAGTCAAAGGCAGGACCGAAGTCCTGCTGGAAGCACTGGGGACCGGGTGGTAGTGCGGCCGATCTTCCTTTTCTCGGCACGGAGGAGGAAGTTCGTACAGCCGAGGCCGCCGGATGAGTCGGAGAAGTCAAGCCTAACACCCCGATAGCATAAGAAGGTCCACCCCTGACACAAAATTTTGCGGGCCTTCATACTCAAGATAGAATGGGGTTTTGAGGCCCA